ACCAGGAATTCCCTTACAATAGCCCCAACAAGTCTTCACCCAGCCTTTCATTAACAGACTACGTGGGAACTCACCATCTCCCAAGACAGTTCAATCCTACCTTTGAGCAGCTCTAAATATTGAGCACTTTTCCCTAACATCCAGCCTAAATTTGCTACTGCTGTATATAAATCACATATTTAGAGCCAGAAGGGACCCTTGAGTCAACTAGTTCAACCCATATATTTTACAAATTGGGAAACTGAGGCAAAAGATGGAAAAATGGCTTATCCATGGTAGTAAGTAGCAGAACTAGGAAGATTCTGCCAAATTCTTCTACCTGGCAGACAGCCCTTCAAATACTTGAACCTGGCTGTCATGTTTCCAATAGACATTTTTTCTCCAGGGGAACTTCCCTAGTTCCTTCAACTGATCCAAACATGGTATGATCTGGAGGTTTCTCATCTTAGTCCCCCTCCTCTGGATGCTTGTCAGCTCACCCTTGGAAGCCAGGAGAGTTTGGGAGTTTAGGGGTTCTTGGGGAGTGGGCAGATACACAGCCCCTCCCACCCCCTGAGGGGTGAGGCCCACGTGCCTAGTCTGTCCTGCCCAGTAGGTTTCTGGAACCCCCTTCCCAATTCTTGCCTAACTTCGGTGGTCTCAGACTGACAAGTCAGATTTTGGGAGCTGAGAAAAGTCGGGCTTGAGGGGGCCAGCAAAGTGTCTAGGGGAAGTCCTTGCCCCTAATTCATTTTAAGCCAGCTTCTGGTGTCTCTTCCCAACTTGACCCTAGGCATGGCCCCCATCCCCCCGCCCCCAGCCCTGCCCTTGCCATCCTTCTCCTGAGTAGTTGAGCTAAGAAAAGAGGGAGAGTCGAGAGGCAGGTTTTATTGGGGTCTTTATTGCTGCTAAAGAGGCAGCCCCTGGCCATGACCTTGGTCCTGGCTCCGACCCCCGGCCCCCCCCCCCCGCTCCTTCCCCTCCACTTGGGATGGATGTGGCACAGACAGGAAGCACCTGGGGGAGGCAGGGAGGAGGGGGAGGGGGGCAGGTGGTGGGGGGAAACCAAGCTCCTTAGCGGTGCAGCCCAGCCAAAGCCCCCTGGGAACATGGGAGCCGCCAGGATTCCCGGCACGGAGTCCCGCCAGTTCCTGGCTTTGGCTGCTCTGGCCGACGTTCTTGGGCTCCCTAGTGGGAGATTTCCCTTTTTAGGCAAAGTCAGACTCTCTCTTCCCTCCCCCATCCCCATCCGCTCTCACCTGCCAGGAAGAGAAGGAAGGAAAAGCCCTAGAGCAGCGTCCCCACCCCACCCCCAACCCCCAGCCCCAACCCCGAACTATCTTCCCAGGCTTCCCCGAACGCCTCCCTCCCTGCATTGTCCTACTGTACGTCCTCCCTTGGGAAGTGGGGGAGGGCGGATCCAGGCTTCTGCCTGCCTCGTCCTAGGTCTCTTGTGGGGACAGGATTGCAGAAGTCGAGACTTAGCGGACCTCCATCCCCATCTCTACCTCTCACCTTCCCTGCTCCCAGGCAATCAGTTAATCAATCAATCCTAGGATCGTAGATTTCAAGCTGGAAGGCCTCGGGGGCCACGGAGTGCATCTCCCTTCTCCCCCCATTTTAAAGATGAGGAAACTGAGACCGAGTGGTAAAAATAATTTGCTCATGGTCACAAAGGGTGTATGTGACAAAAGCCGGATGTAAACGCAGGTCCTCTGACTTCAAAGCCAGTGAATGGTCTTTTCCAGGTGCCACAATGTCGCTAAAGCACTAAGTGTCTGTTAAGAGTTTGACACTGATGTGCACTGGAAATACAAAAAAAAGGAAAAAGTCCCTGGCCTCGGGGAGTTTATTTCCGTTATGGGAAGCACACTGAAGGAGATAGAAAATACAGTAAATTCAAAGTACTAGAGGTGGGGGGAGGGCACTAGAGGTTGGGGGAATCAGGAAAGGCCTGGCCTGAGTGGCAGTGCTTGAGCTCAGCTCTGAAGGAAATCCTAAGGGAGTCTAAGAAGGATGCTAAGGGGCATCAGTGAGGCGGGAGGGCATTCCAGGCAGGGGCCCCAGCCTGGACAAAGGCACAGAGTCAGGCCTGGAATGCCAAGTGTGAGGAAGAGCAGAGACCATTTTGGCTAGGTTCTCCAGTTTGTGAAAGAGAGCAATATGTGACAAGCTTGGAAAGATTGGTGAAGCCAGAATGTGAAGGGCTTTATATGCAAAAAGAAGAGTTTGATTTTAGAGTCTGGAAACTTCACGAGTAGGGGTCTCTCATTCTTTCCATTTCTTGACATTTGTGGGTGTCTCTGAGTGTGTCTCCAGTGACTCCACACCTCCACCTCCAGCTGCTTTGGTCTTCTGATTTCTTTTAGAACATTTTCCTTGGTCTTGTTTTCAGACAGGATCAATGACCTCCAAGTGTTTTATACGAGTTCTAGAGTCTTTCATGATTTTTTTCTCTAGAATGTCATTATCACAGTACAAATTGTTCTAGTTCTGCTCATTTCCCTCCACACCAGCTCACAGAGGTGCTCCCATTCCTCTGAAAGTGTTCATTTTGTCATTTCTTATGGAACAATAATATTCCATCATATTCACATCACCCCAGATCTGTCAAGTCACTCCCCAATAGGACAACCCCTTCATTTCCAGTTTGGGACAACCACAAAAAAAAAAAGCTGCTATAAATATTTTTGTACATATAGATTCCTTTCCTCTTTCTTTGATTTCTTTGATGTCCAGCCTCCTAATGGGATATTGGGTTCAAAGGGTATGAACAGTTTGTTAACTTCCTGGGCATGGTTCCAAGCTTCTTTCCAGAATGACTGGGCCGATTCACAGCTCCATCGACAGCATCCATCTACCTGTTGCCCCACAGCCCCGCCATCATCTGTCATTTTCCTCTCTTGTGACCTTTGCCAAACTGGAGGATGTGAGATGGACCTCAGTTACTTTAATTTGCATTTCTCTAATTATTTATGATTCAGAGCACTTTTCATGTGATCTTTGATAACTTGAATTTCTTCCTTTGAAAACTTTTTGTTCATTTCCTTTCACCATATATCTCTTGGGGAAATGACTCAGTCTCATTTTGTATTAGGTCTTTCTGTATCTTGAATGTGAAACCTTTATCCAAGAAATTTGCTGCAAAAATTTTTCACATTTACCTGTTTGCCTTCTAATTTTAACTGCATTAAATTTGTTTGTGCAAAATTTTTTAAGTTTTGTACGGTCAAAATTGTCCATTCTATTCTATGTTATTCCTTGCTTAGTCATGAACTCTCCCATCTCCATGGATCTGAAAGTTAAGTTGTGTCTTGCCTCCTCTGATTTGTTTATGATTTGACTTTATATCTAGGTCATATATCTATCCATTTGGGGCTTTTCTTGGTGTATAATATGACATTTTGGTCTAGAAAATTTATTTAAAACATATGTACACATGCACATATGTATATAGATATACATACATACACACAAAATAAATACTAGTTAAATTTTTTTGAGGGGGGCACTAGCACTGGAAAGAAGGGAAGGTCTCAGAGAACTGACCAGTAGACAGGATTGTACTAAAAGTCATTCAGGCTTGGTAGCATTGCCCAGAACTTATACTCTGCTAGTATAGCTTTCAATCAATCAACCAACATTTATTAAGCATGTGCCAGGCCTTAATGGCTGAGGATACAAAATAAAAGGTAAACCCTGTCCCCCACACCTAGAAAAAACCCCAAATATGCTGCCCCCCTTCACAAAGCTGCTGCTGGAAGACAGGCTGAAAAGAGATACTGGAAGCAACACAGGGTAGCAACCTGGCAAGCAGGTTGGACTGGAGGTAGGGAGATCTGGGTTAGAATCCTGCCTGGTGGACAACCACTTCCTGTATCTGAGCCTCAGCTTCCTCACCTGTAAAATGGGGTTAATAATACTTACAACTGCCCACCTCGAAGGGCTATAATGCCATAGAAATGGAAATTATTATAGAACTGAACCATTAGAACAATGCATCTCCCACCCTTCTTTACAGAGGTGGGGAACTATGGGCTTGGAACACAGTCCCATGTTGACGTGTTGGCTAGTGTTGAACTTTTTTCCCCCCTCTTTTTTTTCTTTTTAAGTTGTTACGAGGGATGACTCTCTGGGTGGTGGAGAGAGAAGGGATATATTGGGAAATGAAGGTGATGTTAAAAAAAAAAAAGTAAAAAAAATTAAAAGATGAAATGAACTATTTCCAGCCCTGGGAGCAGAGTAAGGGAGCCCCCAACTACAGACTCTGGCGCTGCTCCAACTTCTCCAGGGACCTTTGCCCCTTTGCCTGGTAAGGGCTCCCAGACATGGAGAATTCCCCCAGGGATCAGTCTTTCCAGTCGGGGGCCCTGCCCTTCCCAGCCCTCCTCTTCTCTCTCGGGAATCTCCAGCTCTGAATCCCTGGAGCGGAGGGTCAGAGGGAAGCGTCCCTAGGGCCCGGAGGGAGGGATGGAGGGATGGATGGATGGATGGATGGATGGATGATGGATGGATGGATGGATGGATGGGACGTCTGCCATGGAAGGACCCCTCACTCTCCAGACCGCTGCAGGGCAGGAGCAGGAGCCCAGGAGAGAACGCGCAGTGTCCGGGCCCAGGATTTTAGCAGCCCCGGGGAGGAGAGGAGCACGTGGTCCGGTGACCCGAGCCTGCAGCCAGCCCTTTCCAGGGTATTTTCCTCTCCGAGCTCCTGTTTTTGGCTGGCCCAAAGCCTCTCAGAGCCAAAGGGGGCCCGTGGGGAAAGGGCGGGATCCACGAGGAGGTCCCTTAGGCGGGGGAGGGGGCTGTGCCTCCCAAACCGCACCCACACCTCGGAGAGAGGTGATGTGCACGCTTGGCTCAGTGTATCCGGTGGACATGTCAGTGTCTGTGAGTCTGTCGGTCGGGCTCTTGGGCAGGGGAAGCACAGCTGGGCGGGGCCGGGCGGGCCAGGAGAGGGAGGGAGGAGGGGCGGGTCGTGAGCCTTGTCTCCTAAAGTAGCTGCTGCCCCGCCCCCTTCCCCCTCCACCTCCCACCGCCACCTCCAAGCTGGGAGACTGGGCCAAGGAGGCGAGGAGGCGGCGGGAGTGGGGCGAGGAGAGGAGCAAGTTGAGGAGGAGGAGGGGGAAGAGGATCAGGGACTCGGGCTGCCCAGGACCCAGTCCCGGCAGCAGCTGCAGCAGCGCCAGCGCGTGGAGGGCAGGGCAAGGGCTGGGGGGCCCTGCTATGCGCAGCTCCCGCCCCTCTGGTCCCCGGCTCAAGTCTCGAGCCCGCGGAGATTCGGGGTAGAGACCTCAGGCGGCGGTGGCCGCTATGATTGTCTGGGCGGCCCTGGGCCTCCTCTGCCTGCGGCTGGCTTTGGGACAGAGCATACCTGAGCCAGGTGAGTATGTGCGCCTGGGACTGGGGTGGTGGAGTGGGGTGGGGGCAGCCTGATGGAATAGGCTTGGGGTGTGGACCATTCCGAGTGAGGGCAGATGGGGGGTGTGGACGGGGCGCGGGAAAGCCCCTTCTCCTGCGCCTCCTTCCTCAGTCTCCTTACTAAAGCGGGGTTACTTTCTGCCCCCCCAGACTGTATCTGTTGGGCTGTGGGCACATTGGGTATCGCTGGGATATCAACCGGGAGTCAATTCACCTGGGTCTCCCTGGCCTCCGTCACCAGAATGGCCTCTCTCAGACTTGGGATTGGACGGTTAGACACTCTCCCCCATCCCGAGAGAGGTTTCCAGATGTAATGTTCCTTCATTCCAGGCCAGCTGTGGGCTCTACTTTCCTTCCAGGTCCTCTCCCCCTGCTGCCTTCGGGCTCAGGAAGGGACAATCACGGGAAATCATAAACCAATAGGGGTTCCACAGCCTAGCTCTGGGTCATCCATCCTCTGACCCGAACAGAGGGTGTCCTGTCATCTCTCCCAGAGAAACCTCCTGGCTTTCTCCCTCTCCCTTTAGTCTTGGAAACTCCCTCCGGTGCTCTTATCCCTCCCTTCCTGACCTGTCTCGGCTCTAACTTTGTCAATTTGTGTCTCATCTTCTGGCAATGACTCTCTAAGTCTCTGTTTCTCTGTTTCTTTTTCTCTCTCCGGAGCTCTCTATTTCACTGTCTGGTTTTTCACAATCTGGTACTGAGAGGCCCTCAGGGCAGAGAAAGGAGCCTGGGAGGGGCTGTGGAGAAGGCTGTTTGGAGGGTCCCCTCCCACACCCTGAGCCACCTGCACCCCTGGGCCCAGGGCCCAGCGCCCAGGCGGATAGCAAGAATGCATGTGTGTCTATGCTAGACTTGTGGTCCTGGAGGGGGAGCTGGGGGCACTGGTAAGGGGGAACAGGCTAGGGGACTTAGAAGAGAACTCTTCAGCCTTGTTGTGCCCATTTGTGGAATGGGCACACATCTAGTAGCAGGGTCTGCTTGAAGGATCCTGGATGTGTAGACAACGGATTTAGAGCTGGAAAGGACCTTCTGGGCCATGTGATACAATCCTGCCATTCATTTTACAGTTGGGGAAACTGAGGCCCAGAGAGATATGATTTGCTCAAAGGTCATTCAGGTAGCAAGTAGCAGAGACAGGATCTGAACTCAGGTCCTCCTATTCCAGTTTGACTGCTGTGTCTGCCTACATTGTCTCTGCCAGGCTGCCTGTGATTGCAGAGAGTTTTCCGTATTTTTTGTAGTTTAGTCATTTCTGCCATGTCTAACTCTTTGGGACTTTCTTGGCCAAGGTCCTGGAGTTGTTTACCATTTCTTTCTTCAGCTGAGGAAACTGAGGCAAACAGGGCCAAGTGACTTGTCCAGAGTCACACAGCTAGTGAATGTCTGAGGCAGGGTTTGAACTTAAGTCTTCCTGACTCCAGGCCTGGTGTTCTATCCACTTCCCCACCTAGCTGCCCCATCTCCCCGTTTAGCAGTGGGAGTCTGAAGCCCAGTGAGGAACAGATGTCAGGCTGAGATCCCAAAGCCTGAATTAAAATCCAGGTATCCTGAATTTCAGCCCTCTGAAATGTTCATTTGGAGGGAAACAAACCCAGTTTTGGGGAGTCGCTGACATCAAAGAACAGGATAACATGGTGTTCCAGAATTTGCCAATAATATCTCTTCTCAGAGTTTGGGGTCCCTCCCCCATTTCTCATCCCATTACCACTGTAATAGGAGCTAGGAGGTTCCAGGAGACCATATGTGAAGGTTCTCTGAGCCCAGCTGGGCCTTCTGTCCATGAGAGTGAGCCCTTAGATATTAGGCCTTTTGGGCTGGTCCTTCAAAGCTTCCCCCACCCTCATTTTGCGTGGCTGTCTTGAGTCAAGCTGATTCTCTGTGATCGGGCCTGTGGGGAGTTCTCTTCTTGCTGGTGCCTGCCTGGCATTCGAAGCTCAGCCTTGGCTAGAGCTTTAGGAGAAAGAGTGATTGTCCTCTGGGCTCTGAGAGCCGGCACTTACTTCAATGCAGCTTTTCTTAGGGGAAAGAAAAGGATTGGAGAGGGGGATGCCCCACCAGAGAGGTGAAAGGCTGACCCTCTCCTGCCCAAGCCCTAGCTGAGGGCCCCTTTAGAAATCACAGCCTTCTCTGGCCACGGGCTGCACAATGAGGAAGTGGAGCAGAGTGCTGAGGAGGTGGCTAGGGTCTTCTTTGAAGTCCTTCCAAGTCCCCATTGCCTTGAAGAAGGAAGGTCTGGGGCCAGTGAGGCAAAGCAGAGGAAGGGGCTATTCAGACTCCCCCCAAATTTGTGCTATGTAGAGCTGGCTGAGCCCAGACCGAGGGTCCTGTGGGGGCTCAGGGTCCCTGACTGTCCTCAGGAAGAACCCCAGTGTGGCGGCCCATCTGAGCTGGGAAGGGCTTCAGAGACCAGCAAGGCACAGTCCCTGGCTTTGAAGAAGAGATGAACCCTTCAAGCAGGTTCAAGATGAACCTTTCTGTTGCTAAGGCTAGGGCAGCTTCCAGCATGGGTCAACCCACAGATTTCTTATAATCATAAATATGACAACAGAATGCAGTTACCAAGGGACACCAGTGCCCTGTAGCCCTCAAAAGATCTCAGCAGACTGTCACCTGGGAGGGCTCCACCTTCCCCTTCCTCCACCTCCTCTATCTTACCATTTCCTCTTCAGCTTCTTTCTCTCCCCCCCCGTTCTCTCTCTCTCATCCCCTCTCACTCCTTTTTTCTTTTCTCCCACACCCCTCTTTTTCTTTCTCCTCTCCCATTTCCTTTCTCAACTGCTCCCTCTCTTCCTTCATTCCTCCGTCACATTTCCTCTTTCTCCCAATTCCTTCTCTCCCCCCACTCCCTCCTCTTCCTCCTCTTTTCCATTCCCTCCTTCTCTCCCCTTTCCCTCTCCTATTCCTTCTGTCTTCCTCTTCTTCCTCTTCTTCCTCTCTTCCACACTTCCCCTTTGTCTCTCCCTCTTTTCCTCTCCTTTCTGCTTTCTCTCTCTTCCCTCCCCCTTTCTCTCTTCTTCTGGTCTCTTCCCCCCTCCCCTCCCTCCCTTCCTCTCCTCCTCTCTCTTTCTCTCCCTCCCTCTCTTTTCCCCTCTTCTCTCCTTCCCTTCCTCTCCTCTCTCTCTCTCCTCTCTTTCCCCCTCTCTATTTCCTCCCTCTCTCTCTCTTTCCCTCTCTACTCCCTTCCTTTCCTCTCTCCCTCTTTCCCTCTCTCTCCTGACTTCTTCCCTCCCTCTCTCTTTCCCTCTTCCCTCCTTCCCTCTCTCTCCTCTCTCTTCCCCTCTCTCTTTCTCTCCCTCCTCCTCTCTCTGACTCCCCTCTAACCCCATTTCACAAGGTTGTTGTAAGAATCGAATAAAATAAAGCTTTGCAAACGTTAAGATGCTGTATACATGCTGGCCATGAGTATGACTGTTGCTTTTCCGTTGCTGACCCCGTCTCTGCCCCCCTTTTTCTGCCAGACCCTGCCACACACACCCCGGCTGCCAAGGGTGACCTCCTCTTCTTGTTGGACAGCTCAGCCAGCGTCTCCTACTACGAATTCTCTCGGGTGAAGGAGTTTGTGGGGCAGCTGGTCCAGCCGCTGCCCTTGGGCCCAGGGGCCGTGCAGACCAGCATGGTGCACGTGGGCAGTAAACCCAGAGTCGAGTTCCCCTTTGACCAACACCGCTCGGGGGCTGCTGCCCAGGAGGCCATCCGGGCAGCCAAGCAGTTGATGGGGGATACCAACACTGGGCTGGCCCTGGACCTGGCCAAGGAGCAGCTGTTTACCACCAAGGCCGGTGCCCGGCCTGGCGTGCGCAAGGTGCTGGTGTGGGTGACCGATGGCGGCTCGAGCGATGATGCCCAGGGCCCCATGCAGGCGCTCAAGGACCTGGGGGTGACCATCTTCATCATCAGCACTGGCCGCGGCAACTTCCTGGACCTCTCTGCGGCTGCCTCCCAGCCCCCCGAGAAGCACTTGCGCTTCGTGGACGTGGATGACTTGCGAATTGTCGTCCCTGAGCTGCGGGGCTCCATCCTAGGTAGGCAGAAAGCGTGAGGGGCTGAGGGTAAACGTCAGGCAGAACTTCCTGAAGGGGCTGGGGAAACATCCTTGCTTGATTCATACAAACAACGGCTTTCTTATTTTTTTAAATTTTATTTCTATTTATTTTGAGGCAAACAGGGTTAAATGACTTGCCCAGGGTCACACAGCTAGGAAGTGTCTGAGGCTGGATTGGAACCCAGGTCCTTCCCATGCTCTATCTACTGTACCACCTAGCTACCCTGCCTTCTATTTTATTTTATTTTATTTCAGGCAATTGGGGTTAAGTGACTTGCCCAGGGTCACAGAGCTAGTAAGTGTCAAGTGTTTGGTCTGAGGCCAGATTTGAACTCAGGTCCTCCTGACTTCAGGGCCAGTGCTCTATCCACTGCACCACCTAGCTGCCCCTCCACCTACTATTTTCAAGGTGCTAGAGCTAGAAAGACAAAAATGAACAATTCCTGCCCTCATGAAGCTTAGTTTCTGCTGGGGACACAGTGGGATACAATAAGTATATAGATGACTAAATAAATACAAGGTAATTTGAGATCAATTACAGGATTACAGATTGAGAACTTTAGAAGTTTTTTGGGTCAATTCCTTCATTTTACAGATGAGGAAACTGAGGCCCAGGGAGTCCAAAGAAATACTGTTCGTTGGACTCTCAATTCAGCACTCTTCCCAGCGGGGTGGGGAATCAACAGACTTTGAGTAAATGGTGCCAAGTAAAATGCAGATTAAGGGGGGCAGCTGGTGGTGCAGTGGATAGAGCACCCACCGGTCCTGGAGTCAGGAGGACCTGAGTTCGAATCCGGCCTCAGACTAGACAACTTGACACTAGCTGTGTGACCCTGGACAAGTCACTTAACCCCAATTGCCTAAAACAACAAACCAAAAAAATGTAGATTAAGGGAGGATGAAATTCTAAGAAGCAGAGATGAGGAAGAGAGTGAATTCCAGGCCTAGGGAATAGCCGGGCAAAGGTGTGGAGGTTGGAGGCCAGTTCAGCTGGAATGTTGTGTGCATGTAAAGGAGTGGTGTGGAATAAGTCTTCAAAGGCAGGCTGGACTCAGACAGTGGGGGATATTGAACTCCCCTTTGCAGTGTATCCTGGAGGTTTTGGAGCAGGGGAATGTTATGATTGCTGGGCTTTCTGATGGTTACTTTGGCAGATGTGCGGAGGAAGGATTGGAGAGGTGAGAGAGGGTCACCCATTAGGAAGCCACTACCACGCTGCCCTCCCATGCCTCACTGTGGGGCCAAGGGGGGCCTCTGATGCTGAGGAGGCGCCAAGCATACGCCCCAGGTGATGGTGCACGTGGTGATCCTGGCATGCTTGAAGCCTCTCTCTCCTTCATCCCTCGTAGCAAATTGTTTCTTCCTCCCTATTCTCTTCTCCCCTTGTCCCCACCCCAACGCTATCATTACCGTTGTCCACCTTTTACCTGGTCATCTCTCTGCCTCAAGCTTCTGCCTTTTCCTCCTAGCCACCAAAGTGTCATTCTGAAATCTCAGGCTTAATCATGTCCCTCCCCAGCTCAATAAACTGCCATGGCTCCTTATTTCCTCTAGGACCAAGTAACAAATTTCTCTCTTTGGCATTCATTACCTGGCCCCAATCTACCTTTCCAGCCTTACTGTACATTAACGCCCTTCATATATTCTACTATCCAACCGAACTGAGCTTGGTGTTTCTCCCAAAATGACATGCCATCTGTCATCTCCCATCTCCACGCCTCTGTCCAGGCTGTTCCTCGTGCCTGGCATGCACTCACTCCTTACTTCTGCATCTTAGAATCCTTGATTTCCTTCAAAGCTTAGCTCATGCATCCTTTCTCCTTCATGAGACCTTTCCTGATCCCACCCAACCGGCAGTGCCCCTTCCTCTATCACCTTGTATTGATTTTGTATCTACTAACCTGTGTGACTGTAATTGCTCCCTGATGGAATGCAAGCCTTTTGAGGGCAGGGACTGTTTTTGGTTTTGCTTTTGTATCTCTGGTGTCCCGTAGAGTGCCTGGAGGGTCATAGGCACTCATAATAAATGCCAAGTGGCTTATTAGCAGGTTGGTCACTGATTGACAAATCTGGGGATCATAGCAACTCTAGAAGCCCTTTTGGCTACTGGCCTGGGGTGGGTCCTCTGTCATCTAGATTGGCAAAGGGAGTGCCCCTTTAAATTTAAAAAAAAATTTTTTTTAGGCAATTGGGGTTAAGTGACTTGTCCAGGGTCACACAGCCAGTAAGTGAGCGTGCCCCAAATGATGAAATCACAAGCCTTTGAAGTATGTGTTGAGCACTGTGTTAGGGTGTGTGTGCATGTGCATGTGTGAGTGTGGGTGTATATAGGGGTGTGCGTGCATGTGTGTACGCATGTGTGCGTGCGCGTGCATGTGTGTGGGAGACAGGTTATATTTTTGCAGGAGAACAGGACATTTAGATCAGATTATGGTCCCTCCTCTCACAGTTAGGGCTGAGTCCATGTGCTGGGCTCACAGTCACAGAGAGGCTCAAGAGATGAGCAAAGACAACAGTAGCAGATGTGACTTTCATGATTAGCACTTTAGACAGAGCACTGAATGAGGCACCCTTAGAAGAAGGTTGCTGCTGACAGGAGATCAAGGAGGGCTTCCTGGGGGAGGTACACTTCAAAATGGGCTTTAGAGGAAGGGTAAGAATCCAGCAGGGGAACAGGGAGAGGGAGGGCATTCCAAGCTCAGGGACCAGAGTGTGCAGACACAGCTTTGGAAGAACACAGCACACATCTGGGGGTGGGAGAAGGCAGCTAAGCCAGCCGGGCTGAGGCATGCAGGGTGTGAAGGCAGTGATGTGACATAACACCAGCAAGGGGGAGACCCCTTAGGGAGGGTCTCCAGGAGTTGGAATTTTACTGAGCAGGCGAGAGGGAGCCATTGAAGTTTGTGGAGCTCAGGAGGAATATGACCAGATATACCCTCAAAGGGAGATTTTCAAGAATAGTGATTCTTTTTGACGATCTGAAAGCACTTTACATAGGTTATTCCATCTGAGAATAAGGGTTCTGTCAGAGGGAGAGGGCTTAGAGCTGGGAGGGACCACAGAAGTCATTAAGTCATAGGATTCAGTCCTAAGTTCTTCATCATTCTGGAGATGAAAGGGCCCTCAGCACTCGTCGACTTCAGCCTCCTCATTTGACAGATGAGCAAACAGACCGAATGCTAGACTCTTCTGGACATGGGGGGAGGGAGAGGGAGAAGGGAGACATGTCAGACCCACTTTGGGGAGCTTAGTTTCATTGGAGTCACAAGACTGGCTTATGATTCATCTCTGAGCTCAGAGGAGAGAAACGTGGGCAGGGGTAGGCAGGGCAGCTTTCGTGGCGGAGGTGGCCAACATTGAATTGGACCTTGAAGGGATCAGGAGAGAAGGGAGGTGAAGATCCAGGTCCAGCAAGGGCCACAGGCAGGGGTGGTCTGGCTGAAATTGACTTTTTGCAGTAGGGGCTCTGGGTAAGGTAGGAAGGTAGAATAGGCATTGGGACCGCATGGGAGGGCCTTGAATGCCAGCTGGAGGACCTTGGGTTTTATTATGTAGGCAGTGGGGAGCTATGGAAAGTTTAGGGGCAGGGGATTGCCCTGCTCTGAGTCTTTGGAGAGGAGGAAGATTATTCTTGTGAGGTGGTTTGGAGGAGTGGTTAGGGCTGATGCAATAGCTCAGGAGGGAGGTGATGAGGGGAAGCCTTAGGGAGCTGGCGTCTGCATCTTCCTCTCCCCCTGCCCCCCCACCCCGAGGGAGAGGCTGGGGATGGGGAGAGGAGCTGCCCAGCAGGTGGGCTGGGGCCCTGGCATTCCTCGAGCCAGCGGCATCTGGCCCAACCCCAGCCCAGTCCAGCTGTGGCTGCAGGAACATGCCAGAAACCAGAGGATTCTTGTGTCCCCTCTCTGGGTTAATCATTGGCCTCCAAGCGGTGGGGAAAGGAGGTGGGTCACGTGCTGGAGACTGGAGAGGCCAGAGAAGGCTGCTCCTTAAGAATCCATCCCAGGGAGGATCCGAAGGCTGCAGGGCCGGAAGAAACGGGGTGGCAGGGCTGAGGACGAGGGTTCCTTCTGCTGGTTCAGGAAGTGGTGGTCAAAGCCTCTGTCTGCAGGGTGGTGGGGCCTTGGAGTGGGGGGGTGCTGTGGCATGGGCTCCATCTGACCCATTCAATACCGCTCCCCTCAACTGTTGCATCAGTTTTAACTGGTCCTTCAAGCTGTCCTATAAGACTCATTTTCTTAATGTACCAAACAGCCCTCTGCCCCCAGATCCTCCATAGCTCCCCACTGCCCACATGGTAAAACCCAAGGCCCTCCACCTGGCATCTGGCCAGGGCTGAGGGAGCTGGGAACCTGAGTCTCTCATTCCCTAGGCTAGGAAAAAGGAATATGTCCCAACTCCAGGCTACCAAGACCTGCCTGGATGTTCTGCCCATCCTCAGGGAGAGAACCCAAGGGCCCCAGCCTGAGATTCTTGGGGCCCAGCCAGACCAATCATAGAACTGTTGCCAGGCTGGAGCTGGGGTGAGTCATAGGTCTAGTCTAGCTCAGCTCACTGGGGAGGCATCATGGCATGGTGCAAAGAGCACAGGCTCCGAAGTCACAGGACCAGGGTTCAAGTCCCATCTCTGACGCTTACTACCCTTGTGACCTTGGGCCTGGCAGTGAAGCTCTTAGGGGTCAGTTTCCTCACCTGCAAAATGGAGGGGTTGAACCCAGCTCCACGTTTGGAGCGTAAGGTGGGAGCTGGCTATGGCAGCATCCTTATCATGATCTCCATTGTACAAGTGGAGAAATAGCCCTCAGGAAGAGGAGAATTTGGCTCCAGAGTCATAGGTACTCGGACCCCAGGGCAGGGGCCTTACCAGGAAGCGGGATCTCTAAGCCCCTATTGAGGGAACTAGACAGAGGAAAGGGAGGGAAGGGTAAGATAAAGCTGCCTCAGCAAAAGCTCATGGGTTTTGTAAATGCTATTAATTCTTTCTGTAGCTGCTGGTGTAAATCTGAACAAGCCAAATCCAACTGTTGGCCCTCCCCGCCAGGCTCATTAAGGCATAGGAGATGGAAAGGATGAAGTCTTTAGTCACTGAGTCACTTATGGGGGCGAGGAGGGGAAGAGAGAAGAATCTGGCGGCTAGAGCAGAGGAAATGAGGGGGTTTAGGGAGTAGGAGGGTGTAGGGAGAAGGGAGTGGCCAGAGTCAGACAAAGAAACCTGGCCCATCTGGGAGGGCTTCTTGGAGGCAATGTTTCCTGACCCTCCATATCCCTCTTCTCTCTCTCTTTCTCTGTCCCCTCTTGCTATGGCCAGAGGCAATGCGGCCCGAGGAGCTTCACGCCACCGAGGTCACATCCCATAGCTTCCGCCTGACATGGCCGCCCCTGCTGTCCGGTGACTCAGGCTACTACCTGTTGGAGGTGGCGCCCAGTGCTGACCCTGGCACCAAGCAGAGCCGTCACTTGCTTGGGAATGAGACCAGCTGGTTCTGGGATGGCCTGGAACCCAGTACCACGTACAAGGTGGTCTTAGTGCCTGAGTCCAACCTGCAGTACCTGGCCCCACAGACTACCCAAGTCACCACTCTGGAAGGTGAGAATCCCTGGGGATAATGAAGGGAGGAAGAAGAAGAAGAGCTGGGGGTCATAGAAGTGGATGTCCCATGTCCCAGAGGATGTAGGAAGGAGGAAGGGTCTGGTAAGGCAGAGAGAATACCCCTACCCAAAGAAGAACAGAGAGAGGGGGAGTGTGGAGACCCCCAGAATTAGGGGTCAAGAAAAGGAATTCTTCCCTCCAATAGAATGAAGGGAGGGCTGGAAGGGAATCCCAGGTTTGCAGGGGAGGGTCTGAGGCTTCAGGCTTCCCCACATACACATACCTTTTGTGCCCCACAGAAGAGGTCGGCCCAGCCCGGATCCTCATCTCCCACTCAAAGCCTCACAGCTTTCACGTGAGCTGGGCCCCGACACCCGTGGGCGTGCTCCGGTATGAGGTCCTGTATGGACCCCTGCCTAGGGGTGAGGCCCAGCTCCTCGAGGTGCCAGCCACTGAGAACAGTACCACGCTGGACAATCTGTCTCCCAACACCACCTACCTGGTCACCGTGGCTGCCATCTATCAGTCTGGCCAAGAGAAAGCCTTGTCGGCGAAGGCTTGTACGCAAGAAGGTGAGGAGGGACTAGCAGAGGATGGGTTAGGGGGCATCCTCCCAGAAGACCCAGATGGACAAGTGTCCAGGGGCTGGGAGCAGACCCACAAGGCAGGACCATCCCCAGATGGCCCTAGCGGGGAGGAGCTCAGCTTGATTCCACAAACAGCTATTCAGTGCCTCCTTAAGGTAACAATGGAGAAAAGTCTGGAGAAAAGGTGGGAAGGCCTAGGTTCAAATCCTGCCCCTGTCCCATCCTGGCTGTGTGAGGTTAGCTACTCACTTGACCTCTCAGGGACCCCATTCTCTAAGACTCAGCAGGAATTCCTCACCGGTTCCAACAGGGATGAAATCACAAGTCTGGGTTAAAAAAAAACAAACCCAAGGAGAAGCAATAGCTATTCTTCTATGCCAGAGACAGCATGGAATAGTAGAGAGAACGGGTCAGGGGGTGGGAGACATGAGCCTAAGTCCTGACTGACACTCAGAAGCATAGCTCATAAAATGTCAGGGAGAGGACACTGAGGCTCCGATGGCAGTGACTTGTTCAGGTCATAAAACTCGTGGTGGTGGTGGTGGTGGTGGTAGAGTTGGGCTTTGAATCCATCTTTGGAGAGGGGCAGCATAGTATTGTGGGTGGGACACCAGACAACCTGGGTTCAAATTCAAACTCAGACACTAGGTACATAATGCCAGGCATGTCACTTAACCTCTCTGGGCCTCAGTTTCCCCATCTGCAAAATGGGAAAAGGCAAGGCAGCAAGCATTTACTAAGGGCATACTCTGTGTCGAATGCAGAGGATACAGATATATGCAAAAAGAGAGAGTGCCTGTCCTCTAGAAGCTTACATTCTAATGGAGGGGCGACAAAAACATGAAAAAGAGCAGAAATATGAGGGGTGGGGGAAGGGACAGCCCGAGGCTGAGAGCAGCATAGAGGCCAGGCTAGAGCTAGCTGGCCTGGCAGGGGCTTCTCCCTGGAATGGAAGCCCAGGGCGGAATTCACCAGTGGAGCAGGGGCTGGAGGAGTGGAGGGATGTTCCAGCATGAGAAGGCAGCTGGGGTGAAGTCTAGAGAGCCAGAAGGGGAGTTTTTATTATTTTATTAACTAATTTTTATTAATTGTTATTTTGTGTATAATTATATTTCTATATGATAGTATATAACAATATTTATATAACATAATATATAGCTATAATTTTATAATTGTACATAATTGCACTTATTTATAATACTTTTATTATGAACTGTTGCTATGAGCAGGCATATATTCCTGCACAGGATAGGAGGAGAAGCTATGCAGGCTTAACGCCCCTCCCCCCAACTCTGACAGTCAAAGAAAATTCATCAATTCCGTGAGCCGAGAGGGGAAATTCTTAGAATATTAAGATTCTGTGACACGAGGCCAGCCCCTCTTAAAAAAGAGATCATATATTAAATTGCCGCCATCTTGTTTCACCAACCCATAGTCTGGGAAACTTCCAGGCGGGCAGGGAATGTGCTCAGGATGATTCCCCTGGGAAACATTCCTTGTTTCTGATATCCCTCTCTAGCCCTTGGCTTTAGGAGGTGATGAAGGTCTTCCTTTGGTTCTCCCTTCCTGCTTCCCTTTCCTCAAATTTCCTTGGTAGAAAGTCCTAATCTCAGGGCTCCTCCTACCCCTGCTCCCTATCCCCATTCACCTTCTCCCACTGATCTTAGCCCAAGTGTGACTGTGTGTCATTAATGTGATCCAGTCTGAGAGTTGGGTGAGAGATGTTAGAAAGAATTGTATCAGGAGGTAGTGAGCTCCCTGTCCCTAGAGGTATTTGAGTAGAACTTGTAGATGTAGAGTGGATTCCCTATATTGATAAGGGTTGGGTTTGATGCCCTCTTAGGTGCCTTCTGGCTCAAGGAGTCTGCGTGTCTTAGGAAGTTGGGGGTGATTGTTGGGGGTAGGAAGGGGATCTTTTGGGGCTATGTTTCAGCCCATCTTCTCCAAGCTTTGTCCTTCCAATGCAGTATTTTATACATAATGAGTGCTTGATGAAGATATGTCATCACCCAGTGGGTCAGAGGTGGAGTCAGGAAGAGCTTCCTTCAAGCCTGCCTCAGACACTTCATAGATATAGGACTCTGGGCCAGTCATAATCTCAGTGTGCCTCATTTTTCTGATGTTTAAAATGAAGAGGTCAGAAGTTGTGGCCTCTAAAGTCTCTCTTGCATTTATGGGACACCCCTTGGTGTCCCTGACCCTTCTATGCTAGGCTCTCCATCCCTTAGGACCCTGCTGACCTCAGCCCCCTCTCTGCCCTGAGGCCAGTGGCCTCCAAGATTGGGCGCCTCTACTTCCAGAGCCTGGGCCCTAGCACTGTGAAGGCCTCATGGGACTCAGCAGAGGGAGATGTCCAGGGCTACCAGGTACGGTGCCGGCGGCAGGTGGGGCCCCCGTCCCTTCTCAGCGTCTCACCGCAGACCCACAGTGTCATCCTCACGGGCCTGGCTGCTGGCACCACCAACCGTGTGTGTGTGACGCCCATCTACCAGAGCCACGCGGGGCCTCAGCACTGCCAAGCTGTCCACATGCACCCTGGTAAGTGCTGGAGACGACAGCAGCAGATAGCCCAAGCCTGAGTTTGGAATTGGGACCCCATAGATAGTCAGAGGAGAGGGAATAAGCGGGTCCCTGAGGGCTGGAGAAGTCGGGGAGTATAGGCTTTGTGGAGAAGGTATGGCCTTGTAGGATGGCCGAGGTTTTGGCATGTGGAAAGCAGAAGAGACAATGGGACGGAGTATGCCCTGTGGAGGGTCCAGAGAGAGGCCTGGCCAAAGCAGAGATAACCGGGGCCTTGACTCTGCAGCAGGGCCTGTGGGTAGGTAGGAGAGCTTCTAGTCTATGGACCAAGATGGCCCCTTTCTACTGGCTGAGGGACTTCTTATATTTGAAATATAGCAAATGGAACTTTTTGAAAATGGATTTGGGACAGTATTTCCTGCCTTTCTTTCCAGTCACGCCGGCTCCTGAGTATCGACCCACTTAGCCATGCCGCAACATGCTCTTAATCCCAAATAATGGAGGAGAGCTGAGCCTTTCCATCAGAAACAGACCAGAGGGGAAAGCACTGGGCCGAAGAGATTGGGGAGCAAAGACGGAATCTCTGTGGCTAGTTGGCTTTCCCGTCAGTCCTTTCTCATCCCTTGCAGGGTTCCTATATCCAGCGGGTCAGCAGTCAGCTTGGGTGGTCCTCAAGGACTTGGGTCCAAAGCCTGACACGCTGATGGCTCAGCCATGGGCCACAGACTCACTCTCTTCTCTCTTGTACTAACACATATGTTGTCGATGACCTGCCCAAAGTGAAGAGTTGAGGAAATGGGAAGGTATTGGCCTGAGACCTTGTCTCTATTTTCCTAGGCCTGATTTCCCTAGAATACGAGGGGATGGAGATTGTGACCCAGATCTTGGTTGGGGACGCTGAGCAGGGCTGGCCATGGTTATAGAATGTAGGCAGATAAGGGATACTGGGATGACCCCTGCCCTCTCAAATTTGCCCCCCCTCCTAATCCTAAAGGTTTTTCCACAACATGAGATTTCCCCCCAGTTAGGATTCCATCTATTCCTCCTCTTGCCATGAGGCAGAGCCTTTCCTTAAGTGCAGATTTCCTCCCCATCTCCAACAAGGAGGTCACTAACACCCAAGGGTGCAAGAATTGCATCAGATCTTTCTCCAAGGTGAAGAGCATTGGAGGAGAGGGCACCAGGAGGGGTCTATGGTTAAAAAAAACCAAAACACAATCTTCCCTGGGTTGCTGTGGCCAGGCAGCTGGTCCTTAGGGTGACGAAGACAGATTCTGTCAGTGGGTCTGTTCTTGACCTGAGCTCCATGTCAGAGCCCCAGGTCACCTCTGTGCCAAACAAGAAGGAGAAATTTTGTGTAACTCAGCCAATGTTAAGTATCTATCATGTGCCTGACACTGGGGGTACGAAACAAAAAGTGAATGAGTCCCTTCCCTCAAGGAGCTTCCATTCTACTAGTCATTGGAAGGGTCTACTAGAGGAGTGAAAATCAAAATAATCGGAAACCACTTTGCTCAAGGGCCCCAGGGTGGGGACAGTGGGAGATGGCTGTATTTCCAGTGTTTTGCCCTGCCCCTCCCTACAAGGGGTTCTGGTTTCTCTTACACTCTGCTAACCTTTTCTAGTATTAGTTCCTCTTTGCGGTTCAGGGGGGTGGCCCTGGGGTACTTCTAACTCCCAAGCTCATGCTAAGTAGGGCTCCAAAGGGAGATCCCTGTGTTCAGATCCTGGTCAGTGGATGTCACGTTCACCTGCTGATTTTCACACAGGCTATCCTGAACTAACTAAATGCTTTGGTTTTTCCCCTTGTTTCCCCACTAATGTAACAGACTTTAAAATGACAATAAATTAAGCCTACACAGAGTGGTTTTCTTCTCTTAAATGTTTCTCCTTTGGTACAAAGTCACAGATGGGTGATGTCATTTAAAAAACAAAACAACAGATCTGTTTGCTGGAGCAGCCCCATTTCCAGGCCTGATGTGTCTGTGGTGATGGGGTAGAGAGGGGGCCCTTTGACCCCAGTTTTATCAAGAGAAGTTAGCATGGTGTGCTAGAAAGACAAACTGTCCAAATCTTGGCTCCACTACTTACTGCTCTCTATGTAATCCCAGACAGGTCAGTTCCTCTTTTTGAGGCTGCTTCCTCATCTGAAAAATGTCCCTGCGAGTTCTCAATGCAAAATTCTTCCCTCCTCTGTTCATTTTCATGAAACTGGCCAAACCCTATTCACCATTTATTAAAGATGGCTTTGTGCCACACACTGCTGGGTGCTCCACAGAAGGTCAGAGCTTGGAAGGAGCCTCTGAGTCCACCCCAAAATCCCCTGAACACCATCCCCAGCGAGTGGTCCACCAGGCTCTGCTTGATGACCTGGAGGGAGGGGCAATCTTGCTCTCCTGTCTACCTCTAAAAGCAAACACTAAGCCCACATCTGCCTTTCCGTCACTTCTGCCCTGGGCTCCTAGATCTATTATACTCAGGGACTGAGCAGAGCTAGGATCATCTCTCTTCATTCAAATGGCCTTCCTTTGGACCCTCAAAGGTCAGATAAGACAGCCCTGGGGTAGGGGGAGGACCACTGGCCTTGGAGTCCCACAGAAGACCTGAGTTCTGGGGCAGCTAGGTAGTGCAGTGGATAGAGCACTGGCCCTGGATTCAGGAGCACCTGAGTTCAAATCCGGCCTCAAACACATAACACTTACTAGCTGTGTGACCCTGGGCAAGTCATTTAACCCCACTGCCTAACCAAAAAAAAAAAGAAGAAGAAGAAGAAGACCTGAGTTCTGATACTTCCTAACCCCGGTGATCTTGGCTTAATATCAGAGCTTGTTTCCTTCTCAAGAAAATGGGAATGTCTTCTGTTTCTTTGTATCCCCAGCACTTAACATAGTGCTTGGAACATAGTAGGCATTTAATGTGTGTTGACTTGGAAAAAAAAAAGCTGACCTCAGAGGGTGGTTGTGAAGCAAGAGATTTGTAAAGTTTAATGCATATTATAGATGGGAAAGTTGCCTAATGGTTAGAGTTCTGAACTTTTGAGTTGGGCAGATCTGGGTTCAAATCTTGCCTCGGGACACTTATTAATCACTTAATCTCTTTCAGTCCCAGTTTCCTCATCTCTAACGTGATGGCATTGGAAGTCCCCTCCATTTCCAGATCTTAGAATCTATGAATTATAAGCCATGATTCCAGCACTCATGGAGCTCACAGTTACATCATCTAACAAGTGAATGAAAAGCATTTCTTAAGCGTCTACTACATGCCAAGTGCTAGGATGCAAATACAAAAAGAGAGACAGTCCCTGCCCTCAAAGAGCTTGCATTCTGGGTTCACTACACATATAGGGGAGGGTTGGGGGCTGGGGAGTTATCGCCTGGGATGACCCAAAGATGAGTAGGACCAGAGGGAGGGATGGCTTTGCCCTTTCCAGAGGCAATGGTTGTGTTATTTAACAGCCTGACCCTGGTGGGGGCTGATGAAAAAATTACTTTCATATGCATGGGGCAAGCCCTCCTGCTCAGTTTACCTAGGAGTATCTTAATTAAAAGCATATTTTTAGAAAGCAGTTTTGCCCATGACCTCATAGCTAGCACAAATGTTTGTGCCAACAGCAGCATTGCCAATGGGCAACTTGTCCAGTCTTCCCTAGTGGGCTCCATTGCCAGGAAGCCCATTCCTTCCAGGGCAGCCCCAAACCCCTTTGGCCCGCTCTCCTGGGCATCAAGATTTTCCTTACTTGCAACTTTAAATCTGATTCTCTCCCCATATTCACCTGGCCCTCACATGTGCCACTGTCCTGGGAAGGAGTGTGTCAAGTCCTTTAGGGTCACCACTCATCATTCCTGTAACCTAGCTGGTCGTCCCTCCCCTGTGAGTGTGGCCTCTCCCTTTTTAGAATGGAAGCTCTTAAAAAAAAATAAAAATAAAAAATAAAAAATAAAAAGAATGGAAGCTCTTTAAAGGGCAGATGCTATCTTTGTCTTTTTGTATTTGTATCCCAGCATTTGGCACAGTGCCTGACATGTTGTTTGTTTATTAATCGCTTTTTCATCCACCCATCCATTCATCCATCTATTCTTTGCTCCTCATTTTGCTTCCAGGATCAAGGAAAACAAGACATGATATCAAGTCACAACCCTTCAAACCTCTGACGATAGCTTTCATGTCATCACTCTCTACTTCCAACCATTCATCCTTTAGCTTGATCTTAATTCATCTTCCCAGTCCTAATTCCTGGTTTATATAGCTTTGAGGTATACGAAAAAAGAAAAAAAGCAGTTGCGAAAGGAAGGTAAATAGCCACCTGACCCATTGTAGGAACCGTGGAGGTTGTATTCACAGGCCACTGTACTGAAACAAGGCTTAAATCAATTCCACAAACATTTATTTAGGGTTTTTTGTGTGAAAGGCTCCATGAGGAATAAATATGGTGTTCCTGAGCAGGCTGGCTATTCACAAGGCAGAAGGTGTAAATCGTGTCTCCTGCCAGCTTTCCTGCCCACATAATGAAGGGTGCTGAGCATTCACAATGAAAATGGGAAGACTAGAGGAAACTGCTTTGCAAAAATCTCAAGCACGAGTGAGCAGCGGCAACCGTGATGACAACTCACACAGAAGGAACATCTGCAGGGTTTGCTGAGTAGCCTGAAAGGGGAGCTGGGCCCCACCAAGGGAGCCCCGCCTGGCCCAGAGAGAGGCGAAGCAGAGCTGCCCAGATCCAGCTTCCACCTCTTTGATAAACCGCCCCTGGCACAGAAAGCGTAAACCCAGTGTGGAATCAGCAGGGTGCGGCCTTCTGCAGAACCTTCCAGGGTCAGGGGTCAGCGAACCAGGAGGGGGCCTTTAAGATGAGGCCAGCCCACCGGTCACACGGGACCCAGAGCACCTCCAACCACCTCCCACACAGTGAGCCTCTCTGGACTGGGCTCCTCATCCAGAAAGCAGGAGGGATGAGCTGGAGGGCTGACATTTGTATGGCGCTTTGAGGTGTGCAAAGGGCTTTCGAGCCATTATTGCATTTTATATAGAACCTCATTTGATCATTGGGATCCTTTCTAGCATAAAATCTATGGTTCTGTGAGCCACCTATCATCTGAGGACAGTCTGAGGGCAGCCTAGGTGGCCATAGAAGAGATGTAAATATCTATATACGGCTGTGAATGTGTATTCGTACACACATGTATATATACACATATGTGCACATATACATATGTGTGTACATGTGTGTGGCTGTTGGTTAGTAATTTTTTAGTCATGTCAAAATCTTAGTGACCCTATCTGAGGTTTTCTTGGCAAAGATACTGGGGTGGTTTGCCATTTCCTTCTTCAGATCATTTTACTGATGAGGAAACTGAGGCAAACAGGGTGCAGTGACTTGCCCAGGGTCACACAGCTAGTAAATGTCTGAAGCTGGATTTGAACTCAGAAGGAGTAATCTGACTCCAGGCCTGGAGCTCTATTCATTGTGCCACCTAGCCATGTGTACCCAAACACATACACATGCATACATATTATTTGTAACATATATATATTTGGTTGTATTATAGATATATAATGTAATGGGTGTGCTGCTAGCTGATTGTTTAGATTTTCAGTGTGACCATCTGACCTCTGGCAAACACTCCAAATCAAGGCTTTTTTGTTTTCAGCATTTAACGTAAGACAGTGTTGGAGAAAATGTTAGTGGTACAAATTACACTTCTCTGATCCCAGTGGCTTAAGTACCTGATTGATGGTGGCATATACGGGGTCCTGGCATGCAGTTCTAGCCCCTGTACATATACTGTGCCCAAAGACACGGGGGAACAGCCAAGTGTTGTATATGTGCATGAATGCACCTGTGCGTGTGTGTCTATATGTCATTAGACCATAAGCTCCTTGAAAGCAGGGGCTGGCTTCTGCCTCTTTTTGTACCCCAGTGCTTAGCACAGTGCCTAGCAGGTGCTTACTAAGTGTTTATTGACTGATTGTATAGTGAGCGTGTATAAAAACCTTGGGGTTTTCCTGTTGCCGGTTGGCCCCAAGCTATGTCTCCACCTCTGTGTGTGTGGTGTGTGTGTGTGTGTGTCTCTCTCTCTCTCTCTCTCTCTCTCCATCCTCCTCCCCCTCCCCCTCTCCCTCTCTCTCTCTCCCTTCTCTCTCCCAGTCAGCGCAGAAATCATCACTTAGGGACAATCACAACCCAGAGGCGGCTGTTTTCCCCCCAATATGATTTTCACCCAAGTGTCTTTGGGCCCAGCAGGTATGTAGACTGTGACTTAAAGCCACTGGGTTCAGTAGATGAAAGCCCTTTGCAAACCAGACTGAAAACTTTCCTCTGCAAAGCCGCCAGCATCAAGCAGGGTGCTGGGCCAGAGACTGGGGCTGCAGCGCCACCTGCTGGCCACAGAGCACCTCTGACTCATTTCCCACCCGACCTGCCCCCTCTACGGGTTCTGGTCCATTTGTTCCTGGTGCAGAACACTATCATTCAGGGGGAAAGCTGGTCCCGTGGCATTGCCCACCCCCTTTGGGGATGCTGTGTCCTGAGTTGCCAGGCAATGATCACATGAACGCTCCTCGATAAGAAAACAATGGGTATATTTTCTGATGTCTAATCAAAGACAGGAACACTTGTTGGGATTCTGTTCGTCAGTCCCAACATGATTGTCCCCGCTGTAACCTATAAATAACCCCAACCTTGCCCCAAATGCCTAGCTTTTGACCCAGCCAAACATGTAAGTAACAAACATAATTCAAGCGTCTAAATGTTAGGGGGAAAATCACACGACAGCGGCAGTCTGTCTGCTTCTGACGCCTCCCTTGGACAGCTGATCAGACACGGCACACACTTTTGTAAACCCCAAAGCACCAGCAAGTGCCCGGTCCATTCAAACACTATTAATCAGAACTTTTTATTTAATCACGTTTGTAATGTGGCCAACACCAACACCAGCAGCTCCTGTCCCATGCTTTGCAGGTTAGCGCCCTTCCTCCCCTTCCAGGCTTGTTAAATATTAACTCATTCTTCCAAGCCTAATTCCATAGCTACTTTGTCCAGAGAGACTTCTCTGATCCCTAGCCCGCACCTCCACCAAGCCCTGGCTGGCAGCAGCCTTCCTCTGGACTCTCTGGGGTACTCAGCTCATACTACTGTATATTCTGGTGCTCTCTGTTTATCTTATCCCCTTGAAGAGGCTGTGAGCTCCCCGAATGTCATGTCAATGACAGAGCCCCACTTGTTATTTGTTTTACCAAACTGAATGAGAACAAGGGTTGTCCTAGCTACACTTTGTATCTCACTTAGCAATTAGTGACGGTAGGTATTTAACAAGTGCACTTTGAGCCAGTGAATGAATGCACAAACATCTCTCCAACAGAAGCCAGCCCTTCTCTGCTGGGTTTTAGCAGTGGGGATGAGAGAGAGAAGCCCATGGCTCCTTTCGGCTTCAAGTTTCTCTGTTCCAAGATGAGACCTTCCAGTCTTTGTCCAGTCAGTGAGCACAGCTGACCCTTCCTCCCTCTCTCGAAGGAGGTTCCTTTGGGGTTTGGGGTCTCCATTCTGGGAGACAGTGGCCTCCTGGCTCTCCATTCCACAAGGCCAGAGAACCCTGGAGAATTTGAAGGCTTCAGCCTATAGCTTCATTAGCCTTCCGACGCCATTACTGATCATCCTGCTGGGTTAAAAAGGAATCCAGGTGGGCAGGCAGGGAGCGCTTATCGAACTCCTTGGCCTCAGAAGCCAGTTCCTGTCTGTAGTCACAAAGCAGCGGTGACTTGTGGCTATTCCTCAGCCTCTCGTTATGTTTGTGGGCCTCATAATGGAACTGGGAGCTTTTCATCTCATACCTGAAAATCAGAAACAGCTGTACTGGCCCACAGAGCCGTGACAGAGCACAGGTAGCCAGACTCTGAGTGGGGGACCCCCCGAGCTGTCAGGGATGAGGTGCTGGGAGCAGAAGTGCAGCCAGAGTGAGGAGCACGCCATCCACGGCCTACCTGTTCATCCCGCATTAGACAGTCTTTTAAAGCCGCATACTGTAAGGGGGGCACAGGGGACAGGGAGGAATTGCCTCGTTCTATAAACAGTTGTCTAGCTCTATAAACTCCCTGTTTTATTTGATCTGAGTGGCTCCTTAGCACAATGAGTTTGCACAGCCTCCCAGAATTTGCTGTGTGGCATTATTACTTTTGTCCTTTTAATTCTCATTCCTGAGCACGTGGGCCTAATGAGAAGATGACGACAGCTACTTGGAATGTGCCCCTCCTCCTTTGCCGAGGGGCCCAGAGCTGAGAGCCCACAGCATTTGTCTCTGGAGCTCAGCGAAGGGGGAGGGCACAAGATCTGCTGAAATAATGAGGGCTAGGGTGTTAGTTTATTAAATTTGATCTCTGCCCCAGACCATCTTGCATCTGGAAGCGGGACTGCAGACATCTTCCAGACACTCTGAGCCCTTGGAAGGAAAGTATTCACTCAAGGTATTAGGGTGGGATTATATGTTCCCATGTCGTCATAGGGCAGCCAGCAGGCTGGGCACTCCCCTGGGTTTCTAATGGCATGTGAAGTCAGGAGTGTGACCAGCCATGTGTGCGGTCGACCGCAACAGGGGCCAACATGGTGCTGATATTTTATGTGGGGCTTCCTCCTTTGGGGAATGAATGGTTTCTGTAGAAACAGAGTAACAAACACTGTCAAAATTCTTCTAGAACAAACACCCTAGTGTCTGACTTGGGGCTGCAGGGCAGCTGGGAAACAAAATAGAACAGAATGCATCTGAAATAACAACCTACTTGGAATATGGACAGCATTTCTCCCCAGGAGCAGAATGCCTCAGCTCAGTCAAACTTTGAGCCTCATTTGTAGTTCACAGCTCCCTAGTGCAGCTGTCCCTCCATTTTTTATGGGCTATGTAACTTTTTTCCAAGCAGAGACTATGTCTTTTGGCACTTGGCACTCTGCCTCTTAGACAGGGTTGCCTAGTAGCATCCCGTTACTGGGCATAAAGGAAGAAACTCGAAGGTGAGGCCAGGTAGAGCCCAATTCACAGATCGAAGGCTTGGAGGTTGAAAGACCTCTCTAGTGGCCTGCAAACGGGAGATGGGGATGGAGAAGTGGGCAGCAGAGGAAGATCAGAGCCCATCTCTCAAGCTGCAGAGAACAGGTAGCCAAGCACGCCTGTGGACCAGTCCAAAACAGGTGCCCTTCTGGGGAGGGGAATGGGAAATGGAACTAGCTGGTATATCAAGAAATCTCAGGACTGAACTTCCTCTAGAACAAGGCTGACAGCAGGGGTAGGAGGGGGGCACGGCACCGTTGCCATGAGCCGCCATCTTCCTTCTGGCCTTACATTGGCATGAATCCTAGGCAGGCCAAGGAGCCATCAAGGCTCCTCATGCTTGAGCAGAGGCAGAAAACTGGTCACCAGTATCTCTTGCATGGGCTGGGAGTCTTCATATTGATGAAAAGATCTTTAAAAAGTATTTTTTGCCATTTAGAGAATTTGACTTGGTCACCCCTCAGGGCACTGGATGCTGCTGGTGGGGGTCGTCCCTGGTGTGGCCAGCCCAGAGACAGCCTCCCTGAGCTCTCTCAGGCTGGCTCACAGACAGCAGGCCCACAGCCTGGAAGAACCTGCTGGAGCTTAAGGTCTCCTGACAGAGCCTGTGAAGACTCCCAGTTCCCTCCATACCACGATAAGGCTTAAGAAGAGAGCTTCAGCAGGGCTCCTTTGCTCCTCCACGAAAATTAAGACGCAACCTGCTAATTACCCTGGGTGCTTTAAAAATGTGGGTGAAAAATGATCCTCAATAAAGGCCCTTTTTCGATTCTACAAGGAGCAGGAAGAGGTCCAACAGAATCCCACAGGAAAGAAGAGTCATGGAGCTACAACATGAGCCACCTCCCAGAGCATCCTGGGGGATACAGGAATGGCCCGGGTGGTACCAGAGGGGCGTGGCCTCATGGGAGGCAGGAGCGTCCCTTGCTTTCCAGGGCACCGCTGACCATGACAGCGGGCCCCAAAGGAGGGGTAGCACCTACCACTTGAATTTGGGGCCTCGGGTCCGTTCCAGTTCTTGCTGCCTCGTCAGCTCCAACACCCACTCTTCCTCTGCCCGAAGGCACTGCAAACGGAGTCGCCTCAAGGCTTTCTGAATGGGGGCCGTGGTCCCCAGGGACTGATGTACATGCCCTTCTTTGAGGGTCTGGAAGAACCTGAAATGAACAGACTTGGGGTTCTAAGCTGTCATGGTACCCTGTTTCTGGTTCTGGACCCCCATAGCCACTCCCCAAGTTTCCCTTGCCCCATCTGACTTTATTAGCCAAGGAATCACTTGCCAAACAATGGGTGTGCTAGTGACTGGCCTTAGGCATGGGTGCCTACCTGAACTGTATCACCCTGTGGCATCTGGGCTGCAGTAGGTGCCTAATAAATAGTTGCTGAATTATTGAAATGAGCATTTTAAATCTTGGGTTTTGTTTTTCCAAAGAAAGATTATCCTTTTTTTTTTTAAACACCAGCCATTTCTCACAAACACCCAAACAACCACAAACCTATGTTTTACATGACTACACATGTATAACCTATGTCAAATTGCTTGTTGTCTCAGGGAGACTCAAAATTTGGAACTCAAAATTTTTTTTAAAAAAAGCACGTCAAAAATTGGTTTTACGTGTAATTGGAAAAAATAAAATATTATTCAAACAACCACAAGCCGCTTTCCCTCATACAAAGTACATTCCTCAAACAAGAATTTACGGATTGTTGACACAGCTACTAACTCGGAGGTAATGGTCTCATCCAGGGCGGCTGGAAGGGGCTCATCACTGAAGGGTCCCAGGGAAGCAGCTCCAGGCCCTGTTTCTTTGAAAGCCACAACTGGCCAATGGAACAGACCCGCTTAAAGATGGAAACCAGGTTTTGGGGCAAAGAAGAGATACCTTCATTTCAGATTTTTAAAAATACCCCCCATTCCCCCACAAAGTGGCATCTTGCCGAGCAAAAACTTGGTGAAAGTCTGCCCTGAGAATAATGCTTTCTCTGAAAGATGTGGATACAACCCCTTGCTAAGTTTGAAGTCAGCTCTACATTTATGGGACAAATCGCACCAATGTGACAGGAAGGGCTGGGGAGTGTGGGGGGGGAGTATCTAGGAGCCAGAATACAGGACCTGGTAACCGGGGCTGGGGCTGGAATCCTGCCTCAGATTCTAACTGTATGACCCTGGGCAAGTCACTTCCTCAGAGCCTTAGTTTTCTCAGTTTACAGATAGGAATACAGCATTTACCTCCCAGGATAGCTATATGTCTCCAGATACTACCTACGAAGGGGGGTCTGCAATGTGAAAAGGGGGTAGCTGTATTCTGATTGTTACCTTTCGTTCATCTCCTGAGCCAGGGGAGAGGAGATTCCAGGCACAGGAAGGCAGTAAGGGCTCCACGAGTGGTCCAGGACTTCTTCCTCCCTGTTTTTGGGGGGCATGCAGGCCCGGGGGGCAGCCCAGGGACCAGTTTGAAATTGAGATGATCTGCTGAGAGCCGATTTCTTTCTGCTTCCCCCGGGCCGGATGAGCTGAGGTGGGGGCTGTGCACAAGCATTGGCTCTGGCTGAGGTGGGTCTCCAGATGGGCCTGGGGGACTGGGAGTGAGACCGGACCCATCGTGTCCTTTTGGAAGCCGGGGAGAAAGAATGGGATCGGGTGAGAGAACGAGACCTGCCTCTGGGTTTTCTGGGAGAGCCGCCTCTCCTCTGGGGAGAGCAGGACCTCACTGGGATCTTAGGAGGCAACAGAGACTTCACACCAATTACATGAGGTGCCCCTAGTTTAGGGGGGAAGGACTGTGCTGGGGACCCATCCATCACCAAGGCCACAGAGGGCAGACAGCTACTGCTGGACACCTCACTTCCCAGAAGCCTGCTCTGGAGTTGCCTGGAGCTTGGGACCTCACTGGAAGGCCTAAAGTCCTAAGGTGTGAGCCTTTTCCCAATGGTCTGGCCAAGCGCAGGGGACTCAGAAACTGTCCCAAGTCCATAGGTGCCCTCTGCCCCTCAGGAGATGGGGTACATCGATCTTCAGACCACTGAGATTGAGCAGGACTACAGAGGCCCATGGCATCCAAACCAGAGACATCTTCAGTGTCAGAGTCAAGACTCAAGCTGGGGGCCAAGCGTGGGCGCACTTGGACTTTCAGCTTTCTGTAAACTTTCCTCCAGGTCGTCAATGGTGGGACTGTCCTTCTGAGAAGACAAACTAGCTGCACAATTGGAGGGGAAAGACACGATATAAGATCTTCTAAGTCACAGGATTCCATGTCATTCAGTTACTTGTGACAGGATGCTGCATCATCCCAAGCTCGATCCCAGGTTTTCCTAGTCACTGTGACTGGCCCAATAGAGGAGAGAACTGCTAGGGCACTTTCCAAGTGGAGCTATGTGGACACCTCAGAATGGCTCTAAGGCCTGAAGACACAAACAGGACTTCAGGCCCCACTTAAGGAACTCGGTCAAGTGCATTCATGTCACATTAGACAGGAAAAATGGTGGGACTTTACTGTGTGTCAGAGGGCAGCCTGGGCAGGCTTAGCTCTGGTTTTGGTTATGATTCTTTGAGAGCAAAAGCCTCAATACCTTATTCTGTAATAAGCAAAGCATGATGATACAAAACGAAGCTGCATTAAAGGAAATGATCATTTAAAAAATTTAACCAAGTTATTTTATGCTTTAAATGGGGGGGCGCTGAGGGTATGTCTATTAAATAGTAGACTGACTTGGTTCCATGCCCCTCAGAACTTGGGGAAGTTCATATATATTCATATTTGGAGCTCCCACCCTAGGGCCCAGCTCTATTTTGTGGTGACCAAGTGAGTGCAAGCCATCCCACTTGGCCCTTTATAACTACTGCCTGAGCCCAGACACCTGGCAGCCAGCCCAGGCCCCACAGCCTTGGACACAGCAGTCAAACCAACAGAACCCTTCCTTCTGGAATGGGCACTGCTCTCCAGCCCCTTGCCCTGCCCTGAGGATCACCTCAGAGGCCCCTGCTCTGCCCCTGCACTCCTCCTCCCCCTCAGGTGCTAGCTCTCTCTCCCTCTCCCTCCATCTCTTTCTTCTCCCTCTCTCTCTCTCCTCCTCCCTCTCTTCTCTCTTTTTTCCCTTTCTCTCTCTCCCTCCCCCTCTTTGCTTTTTCCTTCCTCTTTCTCTTCCCCTTCCTCTCCTTCCTCCTCTTTCTATCCCTCCCTTTCTCCCTTTCTCTCCCTTTTTTCCTTCTCCCTCCATTTTTGCTCTCTCTCCCTCTCTTTTCTCTCTTCCTTTCCCTCTCTTTCCCCCTCTTTCTCCCCTTCTCTCTCTCTCTTCTCTCTCTCTCTCTCTCTCTCTCTCTCTCTCTCTCTCTCTCTCCCTCCCCCCCTCCTTCTTTAGATTTTTCATTTTACCTTTTTCAGGACCTCTTCTTTGCACTTGCTTCACCCTCTCTAGCATTATCATTATTTGTCTTTGCCCTCCCCCGATTAGATTGTAGGCTCCCGACAGCAGAACCTATGCTCCTGACATTGCCCCTGTAATAGCATATGGTGGGCATGCCCTTCACAAACATTCCATTTTAGGGATAAGGGTCTGGCTCCTTCCGTGTGCCCTGATGATGCCTGGGCTCACTCGTCCTTACCCATTTCTTCCTCTTGAGTCCATGAAGGGTTTTCCAGGTTGCCCAGAGGTGCTTGGTTCTTGGCTAATTCATGAGAGTTATGATGTTGGCCAAGGGCAGTTTTCTGGGTATTACTGAGAAATTCATTTCGTTTCTCTCTTCATAAAAACAATACATACAGAAGTAATTATCTTAGGAGGTTAAGCATTTCCTCCATTTTGTTCCTTCTCTTGGTGTTCCTCTTATGCTCGGGCCCAATCACCCCCAATCGAATTTCTGTTCTGTGCTAATTCAGTGGAGAACATTCTAGTTGTCTGCGAGGATGATCAAGAAGAGGCAGTAGATTAACTAAGAAAGGTCTACTGGGGCCTAATTAGGGCAATGGGGATAGCCTCGCTGGTAGCCACTGGGGAAATCCTCAGTTCTATAAGCCCCTGGAGTTCTTTGCTTCCAGGCCTGTTCCCATTCCTCTTCTTTTGGTTCACCTGCTTCTCCTACAGCTCCCTCCAGAGAGGAAACATTCTTACAAGGTACCCCAAGGGTTCTGGGTGGCACAGCAGATAGAGCGCGAGGCCGGGAGTCAGGAAGACTCATCTTCCTAAGTTCAAATCTGGCCTCAGACACTTACTAGCTGTTTGACCTGGGCAAGTCACTTCATACTGTTTGCCTCAGTTTCCTCATCTAGAAAATGAGCTGGAGAAGGAAATGATAAACCACTCCAGTATCTTTGCCAAAAAAACCCAAATGGAGTCACGGAGAGTCAGACACAACTGAAAAACGACTGAAACAGTTCTTGGGAACTTTAGCTGGCCTCTTCCAGCAGATTCTTATATTGGTATACACAGTCTCCCTCTCAACAGACTTTTCTCATCCTCTGGAGTCAAGGCAAAAACACAGGTAAGTGATGACACTGTGGTTTCATTGGCATCTTAAAGGAGAGTCTAAGCTCTTTGCGTGTCCCCAAGAACCTTCCTTCCTTGCAAAGGAAGGTTGTCCTGGCAGTTTTCTCAAGGAATGATGGGAAATACCATTTCTGGAGTCAATGTATAGTTCTTTCTCTCAGACCAAAAAAATCCTCTCACACCAGACCCATAACCCCAATGCACCCCCACTCTTTCAGCTATAGGAAACAGGATGATTCTGAGGGGAAACTTACAAAAAGTAGGGAATAAAATCATTTTTGTTTATTTGTTTGGGGGCCGAAGGAAAGGGTAAGAAAATCTGCCTAAGGTCCTGGAACATTTTACTTGTCAGCGTGTGCTTGGGAGTTGGAGGGACACTGCTCTGAGCCACATACCCCACCTACAGCTAGGGTTAGGATTTGCCCTCAGGAACATCATAGCTGACTCTCACACTTCCCCACAATAGCTGTTCCAAAAGGCTCCTTGTTTGTTTGGGGTTTTTTAGGCAATCGGGTTAAGTGACTTGCCCAGGGTCACACAGCCAGTAAGTGTTCGAGGCCAGATCTGAATTCATGAAGATGAGTCTTCCTGACTCCAGGCCAGCCACTCTGCACCATGGCGCCCCCTAGCAACCCCTAAATATTCATTTAGTCACACAGCCTGTTTGACTGAGCTGATAAAGGGCTGTCTTAAGAATCTGGAAGTCTTGGGTTCAAGCTCTGACTGCCACATTCTAGCTGTGGGACTGTGCATGTTTCATAACCTTGCAGTGCCCCCAGGTAGCTACAAGAATCTAAGTGGTGGGACAGGTCCAAATCTACATCGGTAGAGAGAGTTGGCTTATTGTGAGTTCTCAATCCTCCCCAAATCATAGGTCTAGTCCAATGTGTCTTAGGCAGTAAGGATATGCGCCCCCAAATGAAACAATCCCTGTCTCAGGGAATTTGCATTCTATCAGGAAGAGACAACATGGATACACAGAAGTAGATAAAAGAAAACCAAGGTAATTTTCAAGTGGAGATTCTACTTGGGGGGGGTGGGATGGGAAGAGTGGTCCAAGAAAGCCCTCAGGAAGGAGACAGCATTTGAGTTTCATTTTGGAGGAGACAAGGGATTCTATGAGGCGGCTATGTGGAGGAAGACTCCCAGGTCTACCTATCAAGCCCTCCTTACTCTCCTGAACTCCAGTCCCCCATCAACAACTGCCTGAGTGGACATCTCCATCTGGATGTCCCATCGACATTTCAAATTTGACCCATTCAAAATGGGTCTTCCCTTTGAGTTCTTTCAAACTTCTTGGCGTCATTCTCAATTCATCCTTTCCTTTTCCTCACCTTCCCCTTCCCCCTCAACCAGGGTCCAATCATTTGCCAAAAATCATATCAATTCCACTTCCACAATACATATGGTATCCCTCCCCTTCTCTCTACTCACCCAGTCCCAACCTCAATCAGGTTTGAATCACCTTTTACTTGGATCATTCCAATCCAAAGATCCAATAAACATTCATTGTAAGTGCCTCCTAACTGTACTCCTGTCTAGCAGTCTTTCCCTTTTCCAACCTATCCTGTCTGTACACAATTGACCAAAAAAAATCTTCCTAAAGCAAAAGTCTGCCCACATTACTTCCCTTACTCAAGAATTTTTCGTGATTCCCCCTTGTTTTTAGGATAGAAGAGAAACTCCCCAGTTTGATATTTAAAGTCTCTCAAATGTACCTTCAGCCTACTTTTCCAGACATCGTACATTACTCAACTTCATTTACCATAGATTCCCGACAAACTGCTCTCTTTGCAATTGGCATTCCATCTCCCACCTACATACCTTTGTAGAAGCTTGTCTCTACGCTTAGTATGCTCTCCCCTCTCCCCTCCTTCTCTTAGAATCCCTGGCTTCTTTCCAGGCTAAGTGAATTCACCTCCTCAGCCTTTAAGCGTTCCTCCAGAATCTGGAGATGTTAGCAGTGCCTCCCTCTTCCCTGCTGAAATTGCTTGGTATATATTTTAGATTTGTAAACCTTTCTTGTAGATACATAGTTACTTATATGTATCTCCTCATTTGAGTGAAGCCAGGGCAATTTTTTGCCTTTCTTTGTATCCTCAGCACTTATGGCTCACAGTAGGCACTAAACACTTGTTTAATTGTACCCTCCCCAGTAGAATATAAGCCCCTTGGCGGCAGGGAGTATTTCAGTTTTGTCTTTGCACCACTTGAAACTAGCACAGCCGCTGCACTTAACAAATGCTTGTTGAATGAATGAATGTACGAATGAATGCAGGCTCAGCTCTGGGTCCACCTCTTACAGGAAGCCTTCCCTGGTCGCCTCCGTTGCTAGTGCTTCAGACCCTGATTCTCTGGGTGACTTTGAGTTCCCTGGTTCCACTCCCTGGACCTCAGTTTCCCCTTCAGTGCAATGAGAAAAGTGGGGTGCATGGGGCTCAGTGATCTCTAAGTACTCTCCCAGCTCGGGCGGTCTCCGGTTCCTCTTGCCGCTCGCACTCACCGGAGCGGGGCCCGGTGCCCGCGCAGCACGAAGCTCAAGGGCTCCCGGGGAACCTGCTTCTTCGCAGCCTCCATGGCCTGAACACTGCCCGGCGTCCCCTAGCAACGGCGCACCGCGCTCCTTTGTTAGGCGGAAGTGATGACACGGGCACGCGTCCCCTTTCCGGCCGTCACGCCCTTGCGCGTTCCCTCTCGGCCTCCGTTGCCGGCGACCCCGACGACCCCGCTCGGCCCCTCCCCCACCACCTTTCCCCTGGAGTCGCCGGCAGCCAATGAGCTGCTGTAAGCCCGAGCCTCGCTTGCCGGCGACGGAGGTGGAGCTGTACGCGAGGGAGGAGTCATGCGCTCCGCAGCCAATCCAAAGGCGGAACGTCCCTGAACGTGAGGTTCGGGGCACGCGCTCTCCTAAAGTCCGCCCCCCGAGGGGGCGTGGCCCTTTTCCTGCGCTTGCTCCCTGGGCGCCGCGTGACGGCTCGCTCCGCGTGTGGAGGCTTCTCATCTCGGCGGGCTCTCGTGGGGGACTCGGGGGGCGCCCGGCCATGTCGTGGCTCTTTGGTGTCAACAGGGTCCCAAGGGCGAGAGCCCGGGGCCCGCGCTGCCCCTGCCGCCCGCGGTAGGAGGGGACGGCAGCGGGGATCGGACGGGAGGCGGCGGGGACCGACCCACGCCCAAGGACAAATGGAGCAATTTCGACCCCACGGGCCTGGAGCGCGCGGCCAAGGCGGCTCGCGAGCTCGAGCACTCGCGTGAGTGGGTCAGCCTGGGGTCGCTTCTCCCATTTCCGGCCTCGCGGTCCTGGAAGCGCGAGCCTGTCCCCCTTCCCCTTGTCGTGCTTCTTGGGGAAACTGAGGCTGGGAGCACGGCTGGGGCCTTCCCCCGTCTGAGTCCTCACCCTGAGTGGAACTAGAAGCCTGACCTGTCTCCACCGGGGGGGGGCCCCTGCCACGCCACCACGTGGGGCCAGGGGGACTTTGAGGGCGTTCTAATGGGAGCGAATAGAAAGCTGTGGATCTGAGGCTGGAGGCGGGCGCTAGGGCCAGTCCAGCGCTGCCCTTTGACCCCACCTCCGTGACCTTGGACCCCTGCCTCAGGTGCCTCATTTCTGCCATGGTCCCTGAGATCGATGGGCAGTGCCTGAAGGTGGAAGGTGGGATGGAGAGGAGGGGATGCCCACTTGAAGCCAACTCCCAGGACACAATAGGGTTAAATTTCCCTCAGTAAGCCTCCATTGAGCGCCTTCTGTGTGCAAAGCACTGTGCTAAGCTGTTGGGGATACAAAGAAAGGCCAAAAAAGCATGCCTCCTGAGTTCAGAGGGCTTACAACTGCGAAAGACTATGTACAAAAAAGCCCTGGTCAGGATAAATTGGAGGTAATCCGTAATGGAAAGACACTAGAGTTGTGGTGTTTTGGGAAAGGCTTCCTGTAGAAGGCGGGACTTGGTTTGGGTCTTGAAGGAAGCCAGGAGGGAGAGAGTCCCAGGTATGGGGGACAGCCAGAGAAAATGCCCAGTTGGGATGAGGTGTTTTGTGTGAGAAGCAACAAGGAGATCGGTGTCACTGGACCACAAAATACATGGTAGAGAAAGGGGATTGTGTAAGGCATGAGGAGAGGTGGGAAGGGGTTTAAATGCCAAACAGGATGTTATGATCGATCCAGAGGCGGTAGGAAGCCCCAGGAGTTGGTTGAATGGGGGAGGAGGGTTGGGGGTGGAGATATGATCAGACCTGAGTATTTGGGAGGTCAGTTTCACAGCTGAGTGGAGGATGGACTGGAGTGGGAAGAGACAGACTCAAGGCAGGCAGACCCTCAGCAGCTATTGCAGTAGTTCAGGAGCAAGGTGATGAGGGCCTGTGCCAGGGTGGGAGCAGTGTCAGAGGAGAGAAGGGGGCTGTATTATGAAGGGAGAATCGACAGGACTGGGCAATAGGTTGGATATGGACGGAAGGGGATGAGCGTAAAGTCAAGGTTGACATCTAGGTTTTGAGAATAGGTGACTGGAAAGATGCTTGTGCTCTTGACAGTAATAGGAGAATTAGGATGAGGGCAGGGGCTTGGGAGGAAATAGCGAGTTCAGTTATGGAAATGTTTAGGAAGTCTGCAGGACATCTGTTTAGAGCTGGCCTACGAACAGTTGAAGGTGTGGGACTAGAAGTCAGGGCCGGACAGATGGATCATCTGCACATAAGGGAAAATGAATCCATAGGAGCTGATGAGATTAAGCAAAATGGTACTGACTAGACTGTTCTTCAGGCCTCAGTTTATACATGTTGCCAGTTTGCCTGCTGATATGGAGAAAGGAGGGAGGCAGGCAAAAAGAGGGCCATGGGGGCCTCATCAGAACTGAGAGGAAGAACAGGGGAAGGAGAGATAGACATATGGGGGCTGGACACGGACACAGACAGCAGAGGATGGACAACAGATGTACGGTGCCTAAGGGCTGACAAGTTGGCATTGAACGAGTGGTCAGAACAGGGCTAAAGTCTCCTCTTTACACCTGAGGCTTCAAGCCAAGCCCCCAATCCATTGGTGGTGGTGGTCTCTATGCATGTCCATGCTTCTGCTTTTACTTGGAGGGTGGTTTGGTTTTTAGGTTTTCCTGAAGGGGTAGTGGGATGCTGCAGAGTGCAGAGCCTAGGGGCGGGAGCAGAGAGAGTGCAAAGTACTACTATACAGTAAAGTTAACATTGGTATTTTTTTGGAATGCAGATTTCTTTCAGAATTCTTTACATAAAGGCAAATTTGCATGATGCAAGAACTGTCTGTATAGAGGGAGAAGAGAAGAGGATGTTGGGCGGTGTTGGAGGATCCCCACTGTGGATATCTAGCATTTCTTCTCGCTAGGGATTCGAAAGGAAGGCAGTGGACTAGATGGTCTTTAAGGATGCGTATGCCATTAACCTAACCAGCGAGCATTTTTAATAATCTGCTCTGCTCTAGGATCTTGTTGAACCTAAGTTCTGGAGGTCTTTGGAAAGAACGGTCACTGGACAGGATTGGTGGAGGAAGGCCACTTGTTGGAGGTGGAGTCTATCTCCACCTACCTTTACTAAGCAGAACTGCAGAATAACATTAAAGCAGGAAGGAACCTTGCCCCCTCATTTTACATTTGGGAAAACTGTGTTCAAGGTCATACAGTTACTGTCAGAGCCAGGACTGAAAACCAGGTCTTCTGGCTCTTCCCCACTACATTATATTTCTCTCCGAACTCTCACCCCCCTGGCCTTGGTGATGAAAGTGAAATATTTTAATAATGACTCAAGCAGAAGAATAGCTGTTTCGGCTATAGGTTGTCAGTATGAGTCAGTACGATTTCCTAAGTTACTTTCTTCACCTAGTGATCCAGGTAATCCTGGGAATAGGGTGTCTTGGCAACAGAATAATTTGTTACTTATGATGTCTCTGTAATTGTCTATGTATGTGTGCGTTCCATTACGATAGGGCCCTGGTCTTTTCTTCTTTACAGTAGCCAGTGTGGGGCCTTATACTCAATAAACACTTAGGTGGTTGATGTTAAGCTCACTAGTTATCTCGTCTCACCAGTCCATGCCATGGAATTCCCATCAGCCAAATTCATTTCCACTCCATGAGCAACCTAGACTGTGGGACAAGTAAGGTGGTGATGTCATGGAGTCACTGACCTCTCTGCTGCCGTCTCTTTCACTGGTTCTTCTTCCCAACCCATGAAGTGTATGTGTTCGGTAGTGTTCTCTCCTCTCCCCTCTTCTCTGTTGCTTTTATTCCTTGTAGACTATGTCATGGTGGCAATTCTTTTTGTATATGAGTTGGACTGGAGGGCCCCTTCAGAGGTCCCTTCCAGCTTTCAGATTCTGTGACTATTTGGTGACTTTATCCATTCCCTCTCTTCTTCATCTGTCGCTTTTGTGAAGATGACTCTTCAGTCTCATATGTCTGTAGTCTTGCTCTTAACCTCTGTCTGCCTGTTTCCTCAGCTGTAAAACGGGAATCATTCTAGCACCTGCCTCACCAGGCTGTTGTGAGGAACAACTGAGCTATTATCTGTACAGCGCTTACACTTACTATGTGCCTGGCACGTAGTGGAAGCTTAGTAAGTACTTATTCCCTTCTTCGTGTCTCTCCCAAATTCTATAGTATTTCCAACTACCTGCTGGATGTCTTCGCCAGTAGGATCACAGTGTCACACATTTGGGTCTGGGAAGGGATCTTAAAGGTCACTTGGTCTTACCTTTCATTTTACAAATGAGGGAACTGAGGCACAGGGGCCTATGACCTTGGCCAAGGACAGACACAATAAATAGTGTTGGGATTTGAACCATCCTCTTAGATTCTACTGTTCTTTATCCTGCTGGTGCCGTCCTCACCATCACCTCCAGTTCATCTGACTATAAATTCACCATCTGCCCCATTTTCTCGTGGCCTCTCTCTCTGATAATGCTGCCACCATCATTCTTTCAAGAGATTTCTTTTTTTTTCCCAGCCAAAGACAAGGTTTATTAGAACATCAGGCAGACTCTTAAGGAGTCTGAATGTTAGTGAGCTATTGGCGAGATCGTAAGAATCTGAGCAGTGGCTAGATTTTAAGCACCTTAATGGAGACAAGATGGACCTTATATACAGAAAGACTGAGGGAGGGATCTAGGAGTGGCCAAGTAGTTTGGGGTGACTGGAGGAGGGGTCTAAGGAGGATCTGGATGGGAGTGGCCAGTAAGCTGCAGTGAACAGAACTGGGACCTGGACTGTGGGGCCTAGGGAGAATGGAGCCTAGCTAGGATGAAGGGTGGGAAATGGCCAGGGGCCACAGGAAGGTAGATTGGGTGTAGCCCCAGTGAAAGGCCAGTTGATGGGATTATGGCCTCAGGCAAACACCAGAGATTTGGCCCTGTGGGAAAGTCCTGGATTTTTCCTTTCTGGGGTCTAGATCCCATCTTCATCATTCCCCCCTCAAGCAAATGGGACCCAAATTCTTTTGGGGTATTCAGGCATTTTTGTCTCCTCTTCCCCTGGGTGTTGATTCTCCTCCCTCTGCCCAGCTCATTCCCTCGCTGTGGCTTGCCTTCTGAGAGGTCTCCCTGCACTCTTTGCTGTTTGTTCTACATTCCACTGCCAGGATCAGTCTCACTGATTGGTTAGGTTCTCAGTCACCAGGCATTGATTAAGCACTTACTGTATGCTGGGGCTACAAAGACAAAAAGGTGAAAGCATCCCGCCTCTCAAGGAGTTTTCTATGGGAGAGACTGGGGGGGGGTGTTACTTAAAGGGAGAGCACGGGCGGCTGCAGGGGGGGTTAGGTTATGTTACTTTCTCAGAAATTTTCCTTTGTCCCCCCCTCTGATCTCAGCTGACATTCAAGGCCCTTCACTGTGTAGCCAGCTTTGCTTCCACAGCCCTCCTGTGACTTCCTGAAGCCAGGAGCCACAAGCTTAGAGAGCTGAACCTGTGGGGAGCATATTGACTTAGGAAACCATCCATTAACATCATGTCTGTTACAGTATGTTTTTATGAATATTGTCTAACGTTTCCCAGTACAGCCCTCAGCTGGAGCTAAACCAGGTCTTACCCTTTTTCCTTTCTCACCCTGCCCTTTGGCTCCGGTCATCCCTTTAACTTAATTCACCACATTGATCCCATCGTTCAAGACCCAGTGCACAGGATGCTTCCCTCTGTCTATTTTTCTCTTGTCATTTGTCATATTTGATGGGGATAGAATTCACATGATATTGCACTGTCCTTATGTGAAGAATCTATGTGAAGAAGACTGTTGGGCAGCTAGGTGGCTCGGTGGATAGAGCTCTGGTCCTGGAGTCAGGAAGACTAATCTTCCTAACTTCAAATACAGCCTTCAATACTTACTGCGTGACCCTGGGCAAGTCATTTCCCTGTTGGCCTCAGTTCCTCATCTGTAAAATGATCGGGAGAAGGAGATGGCAAACCACTCCAGTATCTTTGCCAAGAAAACCCCCAGTGGGGTCACGGAGAGTGAAACACGACTGAACTAGCAACATTGACCATTGATTTTTTTCCCCAAGGTTGGCCCTGTTTCTTTGCAGCATTCCCCCAGATCTCCCTGGGACTCTAGGAGTCAGCTGTCAGGCCAGGGATCGGTGGTCATATGGAGTGTGTGACCCTGTACTAACCAGCTGAGCCGGCCGTGCCTAGCTGGTTTTCCCACCAGGTCGAGCTACATTCTGTCCCTCTTTCATACACCTCCTCCCACTTTTTTCTTCTAGACTCTGAGTTTTATTCTTTGGCTCTGGTTAGTTTTCATTAGACTTGAGCAGATAGGGACTCCGCTGTCAAGGGCAGTGTCATCTAATCTCTTCAATGATTTGTGCTTTGGAGAAAGTTTTATTCTTCTACAGTCCTGTGGAGGCCAGCCTGCTTTCCTGGGTCAGCCGAGATGGCTGTGAAGCATCGTCTGGGACGATGACTGGACCTCCCATCTGTGACTGATGTCCATTCATGTGTGAGGCGTTCCTCGGAGAAGGCTCGCTTTACTTGGCAAGGCCCATCTCTGCAGCCTTTCTACCTCTAGCGTCGGGGACTCCCTGGAGCAGGCTCCGTTGTCCCAGGCAGCCTCGGCTCCGGCTCCCTCTCTTGCTGGGGCATGTTTCCATCCAGAGTGGTGTTTCTAGGGGTTTGTTGTGAGATACTATTTGTAAAGCATTTGGGAAACTTCAAAGTCGTATGTAAATGGCAGTTACTGTTATGCTGAAGCTCTTTTCTGCAGCCACTTGTTGTGAGATCTCTTTTCATTTGGCGACTGGTTGACCAGAATTTCTGATGAAATAATCCTGCCTCATTTAGGGGATAAGAACTCAGTCTTGAGAATTCTTAGCTTGGTGTCTTATTTTAGTTTTTAATCCACTGAAGAAAACTCTGCTTGATTCTCCTTGGGTCCCTGAGGGCAGACCTGTTTTTTGGTGTTGTGTCCCCAGCCCCTGGGCCAGGGCCCAGTGCATTATTCTGCAGCTCAGCCAAACTACAGGCCCCCTCCAGCCTTTACGTTGGCCATCTCCAGTGCCTTCATTAACTCCTTCTCCTGCAAGTGTCTTGTAGCCTTCAGGACTCAGCTCGAGCTTACCTCCTACCTCTATACGAAGCCGTTCCTGAGCACCCCAGCTGCTTCTGCCCTCTCTTCCAAAACTGCCTGGAATGTCTTTTGTTTTCAGTGTGTAAATTCACATTATAATGCCAGCTCCCTCAAGGCCATTCCGTTTTTGTCTTGGTGTCCCCAGTGACTGTCACATAGTAGGTGCTCAGTAAATACTTATTGATTGGTTATTAGACATTTTTTATGTGGTTAGACATTATAAACTTAGAATCTAAGTGCTAGATCCTTATATTCCTGAAGGGAACCACAGTTCAGTGGGCATTTATTTACTGCTTACATGTTCTGGTAGATATAAAATGAGTTCACACAGGAATTGCCTGTTCCTCTGGGGAGAATACTTGGATGGAGGTGGGAGTTGAGCTAGACCTTGGAAGTTAAATAAGATGAGGAGGGCAGAAAGAAGGACCAAGGATTGACTGTAGGAGGAAGAAACAGTATGAGGCAAAGGTCTGGAGAGAGATGGGGCATACGTATGTGTAGAGGGGAAGGGTTGGCTAGTGCTGAGAAGATAGCAGAGCCCCTTGGGAGAGAATCACGTCAGCGGTAGGGCCTGCCAGACAAGGAGGCACAAGGGGGACTCTTACAGTGGTCTGGGATTCTTCAGTGACACAAATTCTCTTTAAGCATTGCTCTCCATTGCCCTGTAGGCCACGCCAAGGAAGCACTCAGTCTCGCACAGATGCAGGAACAGACTTTGCAGCTGGAGCAGCAGTCGAAGGTTAAAGTAAGTTGTCTGACTTCTTGTTGGACGTCTCGTCAGACGTCCTGATTCCCAAGTTTACTGTTGCATGTTAGCCCATGGTTAAAGGAGAAAAGAAAAAGAAAGTTTAAATGGACTGCAGATTTTGGAGTCTTGCCGTTTCCTTGACTTGACCTGCTATATAAAGGGCTTGGCCAGGTGTAGATACACACAGTAATGAGGCTAAGGCTCTGTGTCCAAGGCCAGACAGCCCCCAGCCCAGTACAGCCTCCGATGTTCAGCTGACAATACTCAGTTCCCCAAACAGTATAGCAGCTCTCCAAAACAAGAGCTCAAGGACCCAGAAATACTGGCGTCCTTTTTTGTAGTGTGTTTCAGGGCTTCTAGCAATATCTGTTTTTCCTCCTGTGTCTTTTTATGTCTGTCTTTAATGGGTTGTGTGTGTCTGCATCTGGACATCGGTAGGCTTACTCAAGAGCAGCAGAATGCTCTCTTGGACCTGTCCATTCACTCAGGTCCTCAGGGCTCTTTTTGGGCATTGGTGGCTGTGCCAGCAGGAGCTGGACCCAAAGGGATGGCTCGTGGAGAATACTCAGGGCTTGGTTTTCCTGAAGCACTGGCTATAGACGTGTCCACTTCCTGACTGTGCTATCCGTCTTCTCAAAGGAGTACGAAGCTGCTGTGGAGCAGCTGAAGAACGAGCAGATTCGGGTACAGGCGGAGGAGAGAAGGAAGACGCTAAATGAAGAAACGAGGCAGCATCAGGCAGTAAGGAGCCTTGGGTGCTGGCAGAGGAAGCGGATGGGTGTGAAGGCTCTTAAAAAGAGAATGCTCATTGCAGGTCTCTACACCTAAAACTTGGGTGGTTTCATGATTATCTTGAAATATGGGAGGTTTGACTGATTTGCATTAAGGATCAGCGTCCCTGGTATTTCTGGAGGGCTCCACTTCCATAATCAAAAATGCTGAACTTGCTTTACCAGAGCACAAGCTCCTCTGTTATTCTGTCTCCCTGTGGGACTCACCCATCCTGACCTCATCGGCCCCTTCCATCCCTCTGACCCTCCTAGACACTCCTCCCTGTCCTAACTAGATTCCTTCCTTTCCCAAACCCCACCATAGAGTTGTCCAGCTCAGTTTCAAATTCCATGCCTGACATGCCATCTTGGCACCATCTACCTCTTCCTCCTCCTCCTTCTTCACAAATGGAACCAGAAAAAACACACCACAGCCTCTGCTGGGCCCTCTACGGGTGCCGGTCTCTAAGCTCTGCTGTGTCTGTCATGCAGCAGCGGTGATAGCAACTCTGTCCCCCTCCCACGGTGGCTGTTTCTTCAGGACTCCCACAGTGCCTTTCCCCACACTCTTCATGGAGCTCTTGGCCTTACCCTTTACTGAGAACACTGTCGTTCAGCTGACACTCTATCTCCTCCCCTTTTGCCAAGTCCCTTATCCCCTCCTTCTGCTTCAGTCTGATGAAGAGGTGGCCTTCCTCCTACCAGAGCCCGGCCCCTTCACATGCCCTTGGTCCCTTCCTCTGATCATCTCTACCAGGCTAACCCCCAGCCCTCCCCATCCTTGAAAGCTCTTGGATGTCTTCCTTTTTACAGCCAGTCTCCTTAAAGAAAAGCTGTCTGTGCTCCCTGCCTCAGCTTCCTTTCGTCTCTTCTGTCCTTTGTAGTTTGGCTTCCCACCTTGTCCCTCAGCAGACTGCTCTTTTCAGAATTACCAAATATTTCTTGTTTGTTTTTGACCTGGGGTTATGATTTCATTGGTTAAGGATTTAAGGCTACTTCCTCACCACTGTAGATGAGGGCTGGGAGATGAAGGGAATGGGGGAGGGGGCTGAGAGCTAGAGGGACTTGGCTGGAGGTCTTCCCATAACCACTGCACAGTACTGCTTCCTCCCGTCGAGGACTTTGCTGCCAAAGCTGATGATATTTTCCCGGTGCCCCTTCTTGACTTCTCGCTGTGTCTGACCCTGGTGATTGTTTTCCTCCTGTTTGTCTCTTGGGTCCCTTCATCAGTGCCTGTGGTGTAGTGATCCAGTACAGATAATTGCCTAGCACTGTCTTTCTCTTGTTCCATTTCCTGGATGTCAGCAGATGGGAAGGGCTCAAGCAGTCAGTGCTGTGTCCCTTTGTGGTCTCCCTGCCTCCGATCTCTCCCCAGATCCCAGGTCTGACCACATCACTGGCCCTGCTCCAGCTCCATCTCTAGGACACGAGATAAACCCCTTTCTTTGGCCTTTCCAGCCATTGCTCATTACTGCTTCTGCTGTCCATTCAGATTGGCCCAGCCTTTCCTCGCCAGGGTGACCTGTCTCCTATCTCCCGGTCTTTCTTTGCACAGACTCCCCCAGGCCAGGAATGCCAGTGATCCCCTTTCCTACAGAGTCACTGAGACCTTTCTGATTGCTCCAGCCTGTAGCATTCTGTCTCCCCCCCCCCCAATCCCTAAACCCATTGCATTTGCTTTGTGTATTCTTTATGTATACTTTCCCTGTGATAGGATGTAAGCTCCTTGAGGCTTGGAAGATTTCTTTTTTGTCTTTGTACCTCCAGTGCTGGTGTGCCTGTCATATAGTAGGTATTTAATATATGCTTATTGATTGATGGAATTGTAGCTCTTCTGTGAATTTCCTTTTAATTTATTATTTAAATCAGTGTGTCCAGGTACCTGTGCTTTCATTTTGTGGTTTTGGGAATTCCTTCTCCGGAGCTAGATCCCAGCTCATTTATACTTTACATCTTTGAGCTTTACCCCCGTGCTGACCTCAGAGGTGGGGGCTTGCCCATTGTTACAGTGTATTACTTATAGAAGTAACACTAACAGTGGTTGTACAGCTGCAGAAATATTCTCCATAAGAGCTCTGGGCCCCGTGATGACACTTGTGATCAGCGTGGGGCCGTGCCCTGAGGCCTCCAGTCCTCAGCTCGGGCCCTCGCTCTGATCTCCTGCGCTTCTTTTTACAGAGAGCTCAGTATCAGGACAAGTTGGCTCGGCAGCGCTACGATGACCAGCTCCGCCAGCAGGTGAGCAGCATCAGAGAGGCGAAGCGGCCTCAGCCGCCCGCCCCGCCGGCCGTCCGGCTCCAGCACTGAGGAGGCATCCGTTGTTTCTTCTGAACCTCAGAGCGGAGAATCAGCGGTTTTTGTTGTTGTTGGATTGAGTTTGTCTTTTGAATGTTTTAGTTTTTATGGACATTTTCTCCATAGTGTCCAGTGTGTCCCTCCCCTTCCCTTCCCCAAGAGCTATCCCATATGACAGGTAGCATTTTTTAAGACGCAAACCCCCCCAGCACAACTGATACATGAAAACGTCCAAAGACACGTGCCTTGTAGAGCTCCTGTGCACCTCCCGCCTCCACGGAGGAGGGCAGGCGGGGGTGTCTTCTCATGGGACAAGTGAGCCCTGCTTGATCCTGACGATTTTGTTGACTTTGCTTTTGGCTTTGTAGCGCGTCGTCGTCCTGTCCGTAGACAGCGTTGTAGTCACTGTGTGTGCTGTCTTCTTGGCTCTGCTCTCTTCACTCTGCATCGGTTCATAGACCCTTCCGCGTTGCCCTGTACTCATCACAGGGCACGTTAGTATTCTCTTACATTCAGATACGACCGTTTATTCAGCCATTCCCCAGTTGATGGGCACCTACTTCTTTTCCACTTCTTAGCTATCACAAAAGTACTGCTCTGAATATTTTGGAGTACGTGGAGATGAGAGTCAGGAACTTGGCTGATGGTATCTGTTAGGAGCCTGAGGAGTGCTTTGAATAGTCCTGTGCTCCTGGTCCCCTCCTGCTGCCTAGAATTTGTTCAGTGTGAGGCTGAGTTGGCGTCCAGATTCTCTGCCTCGGACCAGCTGTTTGCGTCATCTCTGGCCCTGGAGGCCTCAGAAATTCAGGGCTGTCAGAATCAGTTGTTTGCCTGTCAGTGTTTGACGCTGGCTTTCAAAACTGACTGTGAGCTGGGTTCAGGATTCGTTGGGGGGAGATGATAGTTTAGCCTGGGTCTGAATAGGATAGAAGAAACGGCTGACCACCAAAGAAAGAGTTAGACATGTTTAGTTAGTAGCAGTGTTCCAGTTCTGCTGCAGAGTAGCTGGGCTTTGACCAGCGGGAGTGCACCCTTGCTCCCTGACTGTGTGCCCTGCTCTCCATCTGACTCTGGATGAGCCTGGGCCGTAGTGGGAGGGGGGGGACGGATGGACGACTGGGGCATCCTGCCATCCTGGGCCATTACAAGAAAGTTCAAGTGGAAGAGAAGGCGCCCTTTTGAAGGTGAGGGGCCTGAGCCCTCATCTCTTGGATATCATGATCTTACCTCCTTCTTTGGCTTTTCTAATTCTGCTGGTGACCTTTGAAAATTTATCTTTTCTTGTGCATCGTTCTTCAGTTTTAATTTTAGGGAGAACAATTCAAGAAGTTGAGTGTTTAGGAAAGTAGCATCAGTTCTGAAATCAGCCCGTTTGGGAAAAAGGCCTTCCCAAGCGTGTGTTCATGTTTGTGAACTTCACTGTGAGCTGGTATTCCGTTCCAGACTCACTGATTCTGCCACAGGGCATGGGGGAGGGAGGCTTGGGGGCCACCAAAGGAAGGCATGAGGCCATGCTCCTGGTGATTCTTAGTACAGTACCGCCTTCCCAACAGCACTTGCCAAGTGGGGAACGGCCAGGGATGCTGCTTCTCAGCACCAGAGTGAATGCTCTGTTACTGAAGTAGATCTGGTGTGTGAATCCCTGCTCGTGGGTTTCCCATGGCTTGCTAAATGCAGATGGAAGGCCGCTCTGAGCCAGCTGGCCCTTGGCAGTGTAACCAGAGAAGGTGTTTGACCTTAGGATGGACTTGCTTTCCTGGAAAGCAGAAAAGCCCCTGGGCGTTACAAGTGGGAGCTTCTTTCTGCAGCGGCTTCTGAGCTGCCACACCAGCCACACAAGGGGTGAGGCTAGCATCCCCCACCCTGCTGCCAGAGCATCTGAGGCACAGGCCTGGCTGGCTTTCATTTGATTTTTCACCTCCTCCCTGATGAGGAGTTAAAATCCATGTGGTCAGTGGTCTGTGACCAGAGACCCCCTAACAGCAGCCCACTGACCATGGGCCCCTCTCCACAGAATGGTCACTTTAAAAACTTCACCTTCCTTGTGTGTGTTTTCCCTCCAGCAACTTCTCAATGAAGAAAACTTGAGGAAGCAGGAGGAGTCCGTGCAGAAGCAGGAGGCAATCAGGAGAGGTAAGGCCTGCCTTGGGTCAGAGGTGGCCAAGGGGCACCGGGCAGAAGTTGGGCGCACACAAGCCTGGGGACCCGAGTGTGGCACAGTGGGGAGCCTTTGAAGAGGGCCTGGATTCCCAGGAAAGAGGAGCGGGTTTGGATCAAAATGAAAAGGGTGGGTTGGTTTGGCTCAGCTCTGCTAATTTATGTGTTACAAGGGAGGACTTACCAGATGGGGGACTCAGTGGGGGCTGATCGAGATGCAAAGGAGCGTCGAGAAAACGCTTTAAAGATGCACCCCGGAAAACCCCAAAGTTCAAGGCGGGGGGAGCAGCAGTTTTGTTACTTCTGTGGTGATCGATTCAGTGGCTGCTTTTTAAACATGATCCTCTCAAGGAGTTCATGATTACATAGGGCTTATGTTCCTTGTATAGTGAAGTGTTCATGCAGGTTCAATTTCATGATTAAACAGACATTGTAAAAATAACGGAAGTGAAGCCACTTGAAAATATCCCCCTGATCCAGCTGAAGTGGGGGAATCGCAGAGATGTTCTAGGCCTGAGGTGCAAGCCCAGGAGATACAGTACAGCTCCTCCCATTGCCTGGGCTGGCAGCCCAGGTTCAGGGGTGGCCTTGCCACTGAGGAGCCGGAAGCCCTTGAAAGTCAGTTTGCCTCTCTCCGCTTCCCTTTCCTCTCCTGTGAAGTGGAAGAGTTGTTCTAGCCGATCTCCAGGGTTCCTTCCAGCTCTGCATCTGGGATCCTGTCTCAGCCCTAGAAGGCAGACCCGGCCCCTCCTGCAAAGGCTGCCTGGGTGGCAGGGCTTGAGAGAGCCTGCCGCTTTTTGGCTTCTCTTTCTTCCTGTTGCTTTGATGGCCTATCACAGTAGTTCTGGGCGGTCGTGTTTGCACTTTGTATTATAATAGACGGCATCATCGAGGGTCCTGGAAAAGTAAGAGATAGTGCTGTGGTTTTCTCGTCTCACCGTCGTTGGTGTGCTCTCGGTCAGTGGCCATCTACTTTGCTTATAATTTTGTGCCGCCATGAATCTTTGTACACGTAGGGGACCCTTCTTTCTGTCGTTGAGTTTTTTGGGTAGGTTTCTTATCTCCAGACCAGGGTCAGAAGGTGTGGAGGCTGGGGGCCTGCACAACGGCTGACCCAATGTGGGGCTTCCCCAACAGCACGTTGGCCTGTTTGTTACCTCCCAGCCACTCCCAGGCTGGCTGTTGCCATCTCTGGTCAGCTTTGCCAATGTGTTGGCTGGGAGGTGAGACCTCAGAGTTCTGCTCACCTGCATTTCTCTTGGCTCCACCCCCCGTCTGCATTTCTCCTCTTGGTGATTCGGAACTTTTTTCTTTGGTGGTTGATTCTTTGACCACTTTTGGAGAATGACTTTGTTTTATACTGAGGGGTCCTGAAAATCTTAATGTAGTTTTAAACTTAATTTTAAAAGTATATATGCTACAAACTTGCAAAAAAACATCATTTGAAAGTTTGATTAAGTGTCTGTTATCCTCAGTACAATAATTAGTATTTTAGTTTTGAGAACTTTTACTACTGCATTTTAATTTTAACAAGACAGGGCACCTTGTCAATCCTGTATTGTGAGTGCGACAATTTCTCAGACAGGTGGATCAGTAGAGAAGGTTGTCTGGTGTGGTCCCCTCAGGCCCTTGATCTCTCTTCATTAGACCTGTTCTTGTGGAGTCCCATCAGAACTGTCACTTGTACATCGAAACTTTATTCTCCTTACAGTCTTAAGGCTGGCATGGCAAACAGCTCTTTCAACAACTTTGAGAAGCAAGCAAGGAAAGTTTTCACAAAGTCTGAAAATCAACTGGAGTTATCATATATACCATGAGATGGTAGTTATGTTGAATTTTAATAAGGAACATTAATATTTTTAAAATTTTAGTTACATTTGTAATGTCCCTTTTTGTAAGTTTACAACATGTATACTGTAGAAGTTATGAAAGAGTCCAACTACACTAAGATTTTTGGGACACTCCTTATTTCCCTGTATATGGTGTGTGCGTGTGTATCTTAAATAACTGATTTTTAGGAGCAACGTGATACATTCTGTCCTCCCCCCCCCACACACACACAGAGTTTACAGCTTTATTATCTTTTCTATCTGCATTGATTTTGATGGTATGAAAACTTATATTTTAATTGAATTTTTCTTTTTCTTCCATTTTTATGATTACCTCCATCTCCTTTGATTAAAAATCCCACCCTCAACTACAGATCTGAAAGGGACTTATTTCTGTTTTCCTTTAATTTGAATTTTTAACCCCAATACCATTCTCAACTCTGTTCGTGACAGAAGTATAAATCTGGGAGGAAATGTCACTTGTTCTGCCTTTTTTTTTCCCCCACTCAAAAGCCACTGTGGAACGGGAAATGGAGCTGCGGCATAAAAATGAGATGCTGCGGATAGAAGCGGAGGCCCGTGCTCGAGCCAGAGCGGAAAGAGAGAACGCAGACATCATCAGGGAGCAGATTCGCTTAAAAGCCGCTGAGCACCGCCAGACCATTCTGGAATCCCTCAAGTACGTGTGAAACGGTGATGGGCCCACAGTGCCCCGCACCACGCTCCCATGGGGGCCGCCCTCAGGAGGAGGGAGGGCCTGTCTGTCCCGGGACAAAGGCAGAGAAACCGGGCTTTATTTTAAGATGCTTAAATTCGCTCCTCTTCCCAAAAGTAAATTCCCTTGGGAAATTAGTGTGCCATTTGTGACTTTGCATTACTGTTTGTTTTTAGTTCTGTGGCCATTTAGTTGTTTGTTTGCAGTTTTCGGGTGCTGGTTGTGGTAGGCTCTTCACCTAGGTGTGGTAATAATAGCTCGTAGTCTTTCGCCTTGCCTTGAGAATCTGTGGATTCCTTGGTAGTTCCTTTGACTGACAGGATGGTCCTTGAGGATTGGGAAGAATCTCACAAGCACTTCAAGCTTTGCTCATCCTCTTGACCCCTTTTCCTCCAGACACACTCTCCATACACCTGTTTTCCTTCTGGTCATGTTACTGCTTTTCCCCTCCACAGGACAGCTGGTACTCTGTTTGGTGAAGGATTTCGGGCCTTTGTAACAGACTGGGACAAAGTTACAGCTACGGTAAACATCCATACTAAGTATTCCCCATGGAAATTCTAGGTGAATTGTGTTATGCAGAGCTTCTGGCCCTGGAGAGGCTGAAGTCAGTTGCTGTGACATCCTGCATTTCTGATTCCCTCCTGGGCCAAGCTGAGGCACAGCCTTGGTTTCCTTTGTCATTCTCCAGACAGGCTATGAGGGGATGAAAGAACAGCAGGGACGTAGCCCTCCCATCTTGTCCTGGAGGCACTCCTAGCCAGTTTAAAGTTAGCTTTTCCAGGGCAGTTATAAATAATCACACATTATTAAGGCCAAGCATTTTTGGCCTACGTGATTTTTTGCGTGAGACATGTGGCTTTCGGGACAATATGCCCGTTTCTTGAGAGCGGTTGCTAGATCTTGATTTTCTTTATTAGAAACTTCCAAACTCCTTGGAAAGTGTAATTCCCCTAACACCTTAACTATCTGAATGTCACTTATCCAACAGTCTCTGTACAGAACTCAGCTAAAAACTTGAGAATAGCAGAAAAAGATTAGAGTCAGAATCCAAACGAGCTTTCACACAAGTCTTCCCTTCAGACATGAGTCTGAAAGAGCCTCTATCCTCTTGTTTTAAGTCAGTGTGGACGGATGCAACGCTCCCGGTCCTCAGCCTAGCATAACTCGGAGGAGCGAGATGTGGGGGAGATGACATTGTTCAGGATAAGCCAGAGGGTGGCAGGGAGTAATGACTGGCATCGGAAGACAAACCTCAGAAAACTGAAAAGGCAGCAGCAGAAAGGCCTTGGAGAGCGGGGAGGGGTGCTTAGTGGGGGAGCCAGGAGCGTGAGCCCTGAGGGCGCTGCTCTGTGATTGGCCGTGGGGTGATAGGATGGTAGAGCTGGGGCCTTCTTCTGGGTGAGGAAACAGGCCTAGGGAGGGGGCTGGCGGCCGGGATGACATCAGGCCTCAGGCAGAGGCCGGGCCACGTTCTGAGAAAGCAGTGTTTGTGTGACCCAGGTTTTAAACGTAGGGGGGTCTGTGAGGGCGATGGGGGGTACACGAGATGCTGCTGTGCTCGTTTGCATTGCTCCCAAGTCTCTTCCCTGGCTGTTGCCCAGTTTTGCTGGTTGTGCAGATCAGAGAATCTTTGGTCTTTCCAAGCTTAGGGAAGTAGCATATGCTGTGAGTCTTAACTAAAGAGACTTGCAAAGAGTAGTTCGTGATTGATTTTTCTTTTCTTTTTTAAAGTAAAAACGCCTCATGTCTCAGTCACAACTTCCCCTGCAGAGCCCAAAAAGCCAGCGCTGTGACTGCCCCTGACAAGGGATGCCGTGACATGTGTGCGCCTCTCTCTGCTGAGAGATACGTAGTTTATCTCACCGATAAACTGATTTCTGGTTTTCAGTTAGTACTTTCATGGGCTTGCTTTCGCTGGCTGAGTGTCTGTGTTTGGTAGTAGATAGGGCCAGTGCCAAAAATCTGGATTTGGCCTCAACTACCCTAAATTGATAGGTCTAAGAAATACATATAAATTAGCTAGTGTGCTAAGAGATGAACAAGACCAATAATTACTAACCTGTAGAACTACTTCCCATCTCTTTAAAATCTTTGAGAATAATTTACCCATGAATCCAGCGCATATTTTTTGAAGATATAAGTTAGGAAAGTAATACCATGTAACAGATTACACCTTTACGGTCACAGAATTCTTAAAATGTGCAGAGAATAAAAGATCCCACCGTGATCATTGATAGAAAAGCATTTGTTTCCTCATTAAAGATGCAGCTATGCACTTATTGAAGTCATAAGAGATTTATTAAAAGACAAAATGAGAGAGCACTGCTAAACCCTTCATTAGCATCAAGTAGGGAATGAAATAGGGAGGCGGGGGTGTTCGCCTGTATCACGTAGGAGTCCAAATGGAGACAGATCCATCATCAATCATAAGAACTCCGCCTTCTCTCAGGATGCCTTTTGTGCAGAAATGGACAGTTGAATGCCCAGCCAACAGAGCAGTCCACCAATAACCGTGGCTTGCACAGATGTTGAGAGAGAGACAGTGCGCTAGAACGAGAGTGAAGGGAAGAGAGAGGAACCTTGGCAGCCCTCCACCTTGCTTTTCACAACCCCAAGCTGCTCCTGAAACAAAAGGTGCATCTTTTAAACACCCATGTTCTTTGGTGGTCCTTCATGGCCCAGTTGTAAAATGTCATCTCTCTGAAGAGATTGGGGGTCACCCAGGGGCCAGTGGAGAGAGAGATAGAGGATGTACGTCAATAGCATCCCATTACCTAAGACAAATTAACTTATAAAAAGTGGCGTAGAAGATACTGCCAAAGAGACTTTAGCCAGGAAAGGGGGGCAAGGATAATAATAGGATAATAACTGCACCAGATAATCAGGAGAGGGGAAGAACAGGCCGAGCTTCCGGCCACGGTTTAAGGGAAGAGGTGGACAAGAGGGATGCTGGCCAGTCAGGCGTGAATGGAAGGGGCCTGCACCCACCCGTCATTGGAGAGATCGCAGGCCCTCCCAGAGGCCAGGCCAGTGGGGCCCCAACTCCCGCAGGCTGGGCTCAGCTCCAGAACCTGGAGGATGAGGCCAGGGTGGGCTGCCATCTTTTTTCTAAAGACCAGTGAGGATAAAGTCAGGTCAGTTCATTACCTAAAGGGTAGTTAAGGAAGGATGAATATTTTCAGTCACAGCAGTGCCTGGGGAGTCGTGATTCGCAGTCCATTGACGCAATCACAAGCCCTTGAAAGACCACCCTGTCTCACAGAGGATCCCATAGAGCTCAGGCCAATGCCTCCTGCTCCTTTCAGCAGGACAGCATTCTGATCATGGAACCTCAAAGGCCGGCGAATCTCCTCTCCTCTGTCCCCTACTACAAGGAGTCATTGAGCTTCTGCTCCAAGACCTGTGTTGAGGGGGAGCGGCCTGCCCGCCGAGGCAGCCATGTCAGCGTTTGGCCAGCGTTGGTCTTTACATTTTTGCTGTCATCGAGGCCAGACCTCCCTCTCAGCCTGCTGCTCCCAGGCTGACCTTCTAGAGGCCAGCCAGAATAAAGACTTGGGCCCTCTGGAGAGGCCTATGTGTAACCCTTCCCAGAGCATATTTTTGTTTGTTTGAAATACAATTTTTTTTGACTTTTTTTTTTAATTTTTAGGCAGTTGGGGTTAACTGACTTTCCCAGGGTCACACAACTAGTAAGTGTCAAGTGTTTGGTCTGAGACCAGATTTGAACTAATGTCCTCCTAACTTCAGGGCCGGTGCTCTATCCACTGTACCACCTAGCTGCCCCATCAGAGCATATTTTTGAATGGATAAAATACACAGGATTTCAGTGAGGCAGTAGAGGAAGTTGAGAACTCAGAGTGTGAAAGCTCGGGCCAGGCTCTGCTGCTTGGGAGCTGAGTGGCTGGCTGGCCCCAGGCAGCTTCTGCTTAGCTGTGGGCCCTTCCTTCTGTCCTTGCCAGCGTGAAGGTCATTCTCCTTACACACAACAGGGAAGCAGAAATCAGAGTTGAGTGTTGCTCCCATCATCTCCCCTACGTTCCTTCCCCTCCCCCGAGCCTGCCCTGGCCCCTTGTGGTGCCCATGGCATTGCTGCCCGGCTCAGCCTTTCCCCCGAGTTTGTTTTCAGTTGCACGCCCTCACTTCCCTCATTGCCATGAGTGTGTATCTGCATCAGTCTCTCTAGACAGGTCTCCCTTTTCTTCTTTAATAGAATGTTTCTGTTTTCAGCCTCAGAATTTTCATCCTTTAGAACAGGAATTCTTAACCTAGAGTCCATGAACTTGTTTTAATATTCTGGTACCCTCGATTATCTAATGTAATAAAATTTTTCTTTGTAGTCCTATTTATTTTATGCATTTAAAAACATGATGCTGAGAAGGGGTTCATAGGCTTCTCCAGAATATCCAGCAGTTCCAGGACACAAAAAAGGATTAAGATGTCCTGCTTTGGGACTTTGCATCCCTCCTGGCCAAAAGCACACGTCAGACTGTGCTCAGCTTGACTCTTTATCGCAGATTCTAAGATCTGAGGATTATAGATTTAAATCTAGAGAGAGACCTCAGAAGTCATCAGTTCTACCCCTTCCTTTTTATAGGGAAGTAGACTGAATCCCCAAGAGGTAAAGTGATTTATCTGAGGTCATCTGTCTTGTACGTGGTAGAGCCAGGATTCCAGCTTGGGCACCTTGCTTGCAGACTCCCTTCCCTTTTCCTTCTCTTGCTGGCATCTGCTAGCCTTCTCCCATTGCCTTCTCTGTGGTTCCCATGAGGGCTGTTTCAGCAGGCACTTCATGTTTTTTGTTTTTATTTAATATTTTATTTTTTCCCCAATTACATGTGAAAACAATTTTTGTTTTTTGTGTTTGTTTTTTTAGGCAGTTGGGGTTAAGTGACTTGCCCAGGGTCACATAACGAGTAAGTGTCAAGTGTTTGGTCAGAGGCCGGATTTGTACTCAGGTCCTCCTGACTTCAGGGCTGGTGCTCTATCCACTGCGCCACCTAGCTGCCCCCTAAAAACAATTGTTAACATTCATTTAAAAACATTTTTGAGTTCCGAATTCTCTCCTTCCCTCCTCCTTCCTTCTCCCCTCATTGAGAAGGCAGGCCATTTGGTAGAGGTAATACATGTGCAGTCAGGCCAGCGTATTTCTACATTAGTCATGTTATGGGAGAAAAAAAGACAAAAAGACAAAAAAAGAAGGAAAGGAAAAATATGCTTTGATCTGCATTCAGACTCGTTTTCTGGATTTGGCCAGGATTTTTCAGGAGTCCTTCAGAATTGTCTCGGATCACTGTATTGCTGAGAATAGCTCAGCCATTCGCAGTTGATCATTGTAACAATGTTGCTGTTACTGTATGCAGTGTTCTCCTGATTCTGCTCATTTCATTTAGCATCAGTTCATCTAAGTCTTTCCAGGTTTTTCTGAGAACATCTTGCTCATCATTTCTTTTTTCTTTTTTGGTTAGGCAGTGGGGGTAAGTGACTTGCCCAGGGTCACACGGCTAGTAGGTGTTATGTGTCTG